AGTCTTTGGTCTCCGACCGATATTCATTGTGGAAATGGGTTTTAATCATCATGTGGATATGGTGGGGATGCGCAACATTTTTGTCTGGGGGGGGTGATATACCCACTCTCAGACATCTAGCTGGGACATACAAAAAAAGAAGATGTGGCTCACCCCTACAGTAATAAAAGCACCGGTCAAAACGGCGAAAGCTTCAACACAAAGAAAAGATAAAATAAACTTGGCATTTTTACCCATAAGAGCGACTTTAATAAAATTATATTAGGATTTTATGCTTGATGGAATGCAAGGACCACACTAAATGGTTTGGCGGGCCAGGTCGTGGGTCGCCTGTTGCACACCTCTGCATCAAAATTGTAAAGAATTTCATTTTGTCTGTGTGGAATCAATATTCATTCACTTACCCATTGTGGAGATTGGTTCGATGATCATGTGACAAGAGCATACTGACATCTCATTACCTCAACACTTAATTCCATTTACATATATGAATCATCATCGCAAGCCAAGCGTGACTAAATTAAATTAGAGTAAAACTACTGGCATTAGGTTTGAGGCAATGTCACACTTGGGCTAGCTATTTAAAAACCTCACCATAAACCAGGAAAACTTAACTAGTCATCCGCTGTTGGTATCAAAGGAGTAGGCCTACAGCATGGTACTATTTATGTAGGCTAAGTTAGAAATTGAGTTTTACTTTTTCCTCTTAAGAGTCTTTAGTATGAGTGAGCCAAAGTATTCCATTGTTTACACAGACGATTTGTTTAAATAGCTTTTCTTTTATCTGTTTATGGTGTCAGTTTAGCCTATTCGAAGGCCGTCTGGCCGGTTAGCTCAGTTGGTTAGAGCGTCGTGCTAATAACGCGAATGTCGCGGGTTCGATCCCCGTACTGGCCATTTGTTTTACTTATGAAAACATTATTTTGAGCTGAGCTTATTGTTTTTCTGTATCTACATATCATATCTTACTGAAGTCTATCTTTACAATAAATCATATACCGCTACATGTAAAAATTATGTACTTAATCACTTTATCTAATCAATATTTAGATATCACATGGGCGAACTACGGCCCACGGGCCAAATCTGGCTCGTTGGGTAATTCAATCTGGCCCGCCTGACGATGCCACAACCAAACTAAAACCAAGTTTTAATTTTTCAGTTAAAAAATAGCTCACAGAATTTGTTGAGATATTCATTAAATTTAGTTTTGGCACGAGGCTTATTGACTATTGTATTCCACTTTTGCTTTTGTAACACTGTAAATATTGTTCATAAAATGTAATTTTTACGTCACAATTACATGACCCACTAATTTTTGACCCCTGATCTGATAACCTTTCCTACACCTGCCTTATTAACCATTGCGCCCACACTGAGACTAAACACTTGTTTCTTTTATCAATAATAATCTTATTGTTTCTCTGTATCTACTTGTTATATCTCATTTATTTATAACCCATTGACGTTTATCTTAATCATAGATCGAATACATGTATAAATGTATTTGGATGTCAAAGCATCAAGTTCCTTATCTCTTTATTGTTTTATTATATTTTTGACATAGGTAGGTGAGATAATAATTTATCATGGTATTTGTGATATTTTTATGTTTGTCAATTTGCTCAGCGTATCTCTTGTGGGTGATATTTTCGTGTATATTCGCTCAACCGCATCAGACATAATTGATTTGGAAAATTCAATTAAAGTGTGGAACATGACTCATTCATTATATAACATGTAAGATTTAGTTGATGTTTATATCATTTCAAGTTCACATTGTTTTTTAGTTTATCCAATAGCTTTGGCTAAGCTAAAGTTAGCCAAGCCCAAAGGTTTCAATCCCTTTACACTACTTGATGTAGAGTAGGCGAACAAAATTAGTTGCCTCCGTATTGGTACACACAGTTCTGGAGCGCCCTTTTTTCAGCTATTACTAAGATGATGTATTGCAATAAGATAAGATCTGCTTATATTTCAAGTTGTTTGTCAAAAAAATTCTCAGAATAAACCTAACTCGATATTGGTAACTTGATCTCGAATAATCATTTATGCCGTGTAATAATGTATTGTACGGCATTTTTTTTTCTAGAGCAGTGGTTTCCAAATCGATTTAGTATAGCCCGCCAAACTTTAGTGAAATAGTCACTTTGTTTTCACTTTTTTACATTCTAGATACCGCCATTTGTTTCCGTATTATCACAGTTTGAGCGCCTATTCAAATTTCAAAACAATTCAGTTATACAGGGTATCTTAATGAACGTACTTGTGCTGGTATTGGCTCCTTGCTGGCGTTCCCCTCTTGCGGCCCTCGAATATCGTTCTTTTCCTAAGTTTTAGACAATTCTTTGAGGGGCCGTGAAGCTAATTAAAAATAAAATAATTTGCTAGATTTCATTTTGCCAGCTTTATTTTGGGTATTTACATTTCTTTGTTCTGGATATCTACGTTCCATCCACGTATTTTTGGAATAAAACATACTTTTGCCTCACTATCTGTTATTTGTAGCTTATTGTTAGCTAGTTATTTTTGAGGTGGGGGCGTGGGGCACGAGACTTGACAAATTCTAAAAAAGGGACAGCGCCTAAAAAGTTTGAAAACCACTGTTCTCAACCATGAGGTAATCGCTGCCATTTCTGCATTGCAAATATAATCTAACTCAAGGTGATGGGTACGGGGTTTGAACCCATGCATCCCTAAACCTGCGATACAAACACTGTATTTATTTCCAAAGCTCTGCCCACAAAGTTGTAATCGTTACCAAATCTGACACGTTGCGAAACGTTATCTAATACTGGACGCATTTGTGGTGGAGTTATCTGATGACAGGGTAATTTTGGCTGCAAATGATATGTTTTCGAGGATTTTATTACATGAATTTTATTCAATTTTTAGAAATGAGTGCTGGATGTTGCGCAACTCCTTTCTCGTAATGGAATGTGGTTCAATCGGAAATTGAGAATACGTGGATGGAACGTAAATTTCCTAAATAAAGAAATGTAGATATCCAAAATGAACCGCAATATCCAATCTACCAAATATTTTTATTTTCATCAGCTTCAGGCCTCCTCAAAAAATATAAACTCAGAATACGATATGATATTATCTAACCGGGCTTTAAGCTCATTGTTCTAGCATTTTCTCTCCATATCGGGTGAAAACGATCCCTTTAGATTCAAAAATGTTGGCAATTTTATAGCAATTTCTTTCCAGTGGGATACATATGTTACATTTACATACATAGGGTGAATTATAGTTATTTGAATTGAAAATTTATCCCTTGAAGTCAGGAATTTTGTTCTTGTAGCATTTTCTCTCCATCGGGAGACATCTTAGGAATTCACTTGTCAATACTAGTTATAACGAAATGATTTATCGTTGTTTTATTTTGGTGTTTACAATTCTTGACTTAATCATTTACGATCAGCGGTGAAGTATGACGTTTCCCAATATTGATCTTTTTGCTAAGTCATCTTGTTACATAATAATCTTACATAACCATTCCATTTGTTATCAGCTTATGAGGTCATACTGACATTTTTATCTACCATATTAAGAGTTTCAATGCTATTTTAAGTAATTGGGATGCGTGTCTTAATGTCTTTTGACATTTTGGAATTTAAATATAATATTCTCTCTCTCTTTGTCTCTAAATAAGGCATCAATCAAGAACTTTAATTATTTTAAAAGTTCAATAACCTGTCATATACGAATATCTTAGTAACAAGTATAAACCAAACATACAGATTAACCAAAAATTTTCACCCGATTTTATATTATTAACAATCGTAAGTTTAAATAAATTTTAATGTGCAATAAATGAGAACTACAAGGACAATAAGAACTATTAATAAACAAATACAAGAAATTTTTAATTGCTACTATAAAATCGGGTGAAATTTTTTGGACAACCTGTGTTATATATACATAGTGTGTCAAGGGACTGTCAAAACTCTTCAATCAGTGCTTTTCACTTTTTTTATAAATAAGGTTCATAACAAAAAACTTAATTCCTCACATTAACAGCTATCAACTTCTCTACTACAGGGATGGGCACTTACTTTTTCTGAGTGGGCCAAGGCTTAAAACTTAATATGAGAAACTATAAAAAAACTATTCATTTACAACAGCTAGGCTAATGTTTATATAATAATAAGAAGCACAATGTAACAATTAAGGTAATTTTTTATATCCATAGAACTTATGGTTGTAAGAGACACAACTGGACCGGATGGAACACCTCAGTGGGTTCATGGCTACAATCCCTGCTTTGAACAAATAACAGTAATTGGCCTGCAGAAGATTGTTCAAAGAAATAACCTTTGAATCAGGGGTCGGCAACCTTTTGTAGCTCGCGGGCCAAAATTAAGGTTGCAAGTCATTGACGGGCCGCACATATTTTAAGAAAGTTGAAAACCCGAACGGATGATACTTTTTATAATAAAAATCAAGTAGTGATACATCTCTCGAATAGAATATTGGTTTATTTCCTCATTACATCTCATAAAATTCCATTTGAATATTTTCAGCGCCATTGAACCCTTTGCACTTAGCATCAACTTTTCTGTGTTTTGTTGCAATTTGCTTAATTAAAGTATATGCTCATTAAATGAGTAATTGTGAATTATATAATTATTAGGTTATAATATAATTCAGTCTGATGAATATATATTCGTCAAAACGGATGTTTTGTTACTATAAGGTTAGTGAAGCCGGCCCACGGGCCGTAGGTTGCCGACCCCTGATTTAAATATTATTAAATCATCTGCATCATTGGAGTGCTATGGTAAATGCAATCTACTTCAGTAAAGTCGCATAAATTTCGAGAAATCAACTGGTGAGGAAAACATATTTGACAAATTCTCCAGTCATAACTGAATTTCTAAATCATCAGCTGCATTTAATTATTACGGTTAAGGAAATCTACTTCCAGTGAAGTCTGGTAAATTCCGAGAAATCAACTCAAAGGCCATTATTAAATTCCATTTTTCTATTTCCAGTTCTAACTAAATCTAGTTATTCTTATCAAGTATGAACTAATTATTGTTCTAAATTTGAACATTTGAAAAAAAAATTGTGAATGAACGAACCAAAGAAAATGGATGAATCTGAACTTGAAAATGAAGAGTTGAAAAAGGAAGAGATGAAAACAGAAGGAAAAGGGTGAGTATCTTTGTATTCAAGTTAGTTTAGTGAGCGTGGTGGTCGGAGTCTAAATTCCATCAATCTGGAGTTGAAGTCAAAATTTTCACGATTCCGATAAATAGGTAATGGGTCACATTTCTGGACTTAATTATTCTTGACTTCCAATGCGGTTGTCTCTTTGAATTTAATTAAAATAACATTTTTTTTACTAGCTTATTCGCATAAATTATTTTAGAAGCTTTAAACGATATTTTTTTGTTAATATTCATTGAAAGTGATGTCTACCCCCAGGAAGGGTGGTTTTTCGGGTCGAACCCCCCCAATTCGAAATGTAAAAAAAATGAAAGCATTTTTCTGTATCATATATAGCAATATCCCGAAGCTTGAAACGCTTCTTCGCCCCTCAAGATTCATGAAAACACACGTTTTTCGACGTTCGGCTGGACTCGATAGCTGTTTCTATCTAACTTGGCAAATAGAAATTCAGACCCCCCCCCTCTGAAAATTTCTGGCTACCACTATATGTAGCCTTCACCCGTGGTCTACCGCATGAGGGACAATACATCAATAGATCTTGCGCTAATGTAGCACCGATTCTTTAACCTTCTTTATACGGCCTATTATCAGAAATTCATAAAGTCAATTGTCTACAGAAATTGTCTACCAAACTTTTTAGAGTCGAGACCCACTATTTATTACCACAGCTTATGGCGACCCATTTAACTTTTTATGACATAACACAGAACACAGCAATGGCTAATCATTGCAAAACTAACGTGTTTTCTCGAAAATAAGACCTGGCCTGAAAATAATACCTAATTTTTAAAAATGATTTCAATTAAACCCTACCCTTAAAATAAATTCAAAATGTGTGGGAGAGGAAAGGTTCAATGACCTGAGGTAAGGTGGAAATCACAATTATGATATCTGTCACTTTATTTTTGTATAGGAAATACAAATAAAAACAATGGATGTCGGTTTTTAATTAATGTTTATTAAAAAATTTCGTGATTTTTTACGATGTAATTTTATTTTTGATAAATGAACACAAAAGACCTCTTCCAAAAAATAACATAGTGTTATTCTTCAAAAGAAAATAAATCTAAATTCTGTCTAAATTTCGGGGAAACACGGTAAGAAGTGCTGTACAGTGTACAAAACTGCTATGCGTAAAAAAAGCCATGGTCACTCTTTGTGTAGCAAATTTTTGTTTCTTTGAGAAGATCGTTATAAGGAAACTTTAGGGCTCCCGAAGTATGCGAACCAAGATGGCGGACATCGGAATGTAATATGTGTACTAGGTTAGGGTTAGGCCATAATTTTAGGTATAAATACTACGGGAGGCTCTTGGCTAGTCTTCGAACTGATAATAGGACTAAAATAAAACTCTTGGTTCGCATACTTCGGGAGCACCGAAACTTTTACATCTTTTCACGACCCACTAAGATTCCTGTCGCGACCCACCAGTGGTCTACAAATCAGCCTGCACAGGGGGCCCCAACCTTTTATGGCTTTTAGCCTCCTTTTCCAAGCTTTTTCAGCATCCATTACCCCCTGTATGTAATTTTGTTGGTATTTCTAGTGTTATTTGGATTGTCTGATTCTAAATTCCATTATGCTCCTTCTCAATCAGACATTCATAGAGTTAATTGTCCACAGATTAGCTTGCACAGTGGGTCTTAACCTTTTATGGCTTGTGGCCATAAAAGCTTTTTCCAGAAGCTTTTTCAGCTATTATTACCATCGGTTTGTCATTCCGTTGGTGTTTCTAGTGTTATTTTGATTGGCTGATTCCAAATTCTGTTATGCGCCTTCTCAAAAATTGTCTACGGCCCCTTTGTGGGAACCACTGTTGTAATGCATCAAATCAAATATATTTGCACTATAATTATTTATCATCTCCGTAGCGCATGGCAGTTCAGTAGTCGCCTGTTAATTTGTACGAATATTTTTTTGTTTCGGAGTGATCCTGTATGACCTTGCTTTCAGCAATTCTCTCAAAATGTAATCAAAATGAAACGTCTTCCAGTTTACGTTATGTAACATTCAAAGAAAAATGTTAGTCTTTTTTAAAGTTGTCAAATAACCTACAATTATTGTTAAATTTAAATTATGTAACAACTGAGGAAGGGGATATTCCCGCCAGAAGTACTTTGGGTTTATTTTTACCCTCCATTTTGAATTTAAAAAAATTTAGGTCTGTGCTATACATGTTACGTACATAAAAACCATAAATCCACATTTTCACGCTTAATCATGCTAGAGCACTATATCCGTGCATGACATAGCAGATTTTAATAATTTTGTTAAACAATCAAGCACGGTCTGGTGACTGATTTTACTATAGGAGAGAATATGGCACCAAATGACCTATTGTTACATAACCTAGACTGTTATATAACCATCCACAAACGCACATGTTAGCCACTCCACTGTCTGCAGCATTGCTTTGAACTATACATTCAAGAAGGGAGTCTCGCGACTCGTTGGTTAGTTTTGCCGCTTTGTTTGAGTTTCTTCATTATTAAATTTGTGGATTATCAAATTTGGGTGATTATTATTTTTTAATAAGTAATCTAAGAAGTTTAAATTATAATAAACAAACAAATAAACTTTGCTAATTAGGTTCTATAGCTTTGTATTATATAGGTTTCCATAAAGTCTTTATTTTTTTTAAAAATTGCAAAGGGGATTTATCAATACCATATATTGTTTTGGCCCTCACAGAAGTATTGAAAAACTTGAATTATTGCTGATATTGAAAACAACAAACCTAGTTAAGATATATTGAGAACTGATTTTATAACAAAACTGAAATTGTAAATAGCCTCTATGGGCAACCTGTATTTTAGAAAGAGTTCAGAGAGGAATTTATAGATTTGTGGTATCTTATTTTCTCAATAAATTTGGTAATTGACTTTTAATAAATGAACAAGTATCCAGTTGATTAAGTAAGAAAGTATATCAAGTTATATCAAATAAAAGTTACGGTATATCAGATGAAAAATGAAAATAAAATTTTTTGATTAAAACAACTCCTGTTTTTTTGTCACCTTGCTATGAGGTGTCCATAAAGTCTTACTATTTTTTAATTAATAAGCAACTGGTTGAGTTTTGATAAATAAACAAAGAATAAAAATATTTTAAAATTACACTATTTTTTATTTTTAAAATATATATAAAATAAGGGTATACCGGTAGGATTCTATTACGTTATTTTGTTAAATTTTCTTACTTAATAAATAAACTAATCAGTAAAGTAGTTTATTTTTATTGAATTGATAATAACAATTAAAAATTTCACCCAATTTTATATTATTAACAATTGTTTAAATAAATTTTATTGTATGGTAAATGAGGACTACAAGCACAATAAGAACTATTAATAAACAAAGACAAAGAAATTTTCAATTGTTGTTACTATGAAATCAATCAAAATTTTTCAGACAACCTTAGTACAGAGCAAGGTCCATATAGGTTTTTTTAGTTCTGTTTTTTCTATTAAATTAGGTAATTAATCTTTAATAAATTAAGTTAACCAATAAACCTGTAAACTAATTAATTAATGATTACAGTGATGCTAAATTATTATGAAAATGATGAGAAACAAATTTTAAAATTGCTCACTTTACTTCATAACTGATTTCTAAGCGGTTTGTTACTAGTAGGCACGTTTGTTAAAATTATGTCGGCTCTCAAATCTTAGCGGCACATCTGCCAAAACAAATATAATTTAAAAACTGTTTCTGTTTGTTGCTTTGTTATTTTATGTATTTATATATAAACATGCTCTTTCTCGTGCAGTTCTTTCTGAACTTTGTTAAGTTTAAACTTTAGTTTTCATGTCTATTTTAAAACTGTAACTGATTACCTTTATATAGATATGGAAAACGACAAATGTAGCATGTTCTGTCAAGCTGTCTTGCTCACGAACAGGCCGTTCTCTCAAAAATAGAATCAAAAGTGATAAAAATAGCCCTGTGACATTGCATTTTGAACAGGTTGTTAAACTTACTCCTATGACATGCGAAACAAAACCCGGAAAGTCCTTAAAAAGTAATAGCCTATTTTTATGCTGTTGTCTTTTTTTTATTTCTATATTAACTTTGCAAATTTATGTTTTAGTAACTATAAACTAATTAATAGAATAAATAGAGTTGAACTATAGTAAATACAATATATGATATAACTTTTAAAATTATGCTGTTTGTAAGACAAATCTATTCCTGAGTTGTGGCTAGCCAGCAGGTTTTAGTAATTCATTTGGCGATTGTGTTTTTATTATTGAGGTAGTAAGTAGTAACTAGTAAGTTGAAATTATAATAAACAAACAAACAAAGAATTAACATGCTCTTTTCCGCTTAGAATTTATTGTTTCAACATAGGAGCAACATTTTATATCGGCTGATGTATTTTAAAGTTGTGTTTAGCCAGCAGGTTTTAGTAATTTATTGGGTGATTGAATTTCAAATATTAAAGTGTAAGTTGATATTATGATGATAAACAAAGAAAAAATTGTTCAAAAATTCTTCCTTTTTTCTTTGAATTTATTGCTTTAACAAGTTACCTTTGGTTGTTGATCATCATTTTAGTTCGGCATTCTCCCTTTGATTGGAGGCAATTTTGCTTTGATTCAACATTTAGAACTAAAACATTATGTGTGGCCATGCAATTGGCTAATGATGGTTAATATTATACAATATACCGTTTGTGTTTGTTTTGGAGTCTTTTTGTATATGATGCCTGGCACGTTGAATTACACTTAAAATGAAGAATTTGAAGTAATACATACAACTGAGTAATTTTGGATATTAGATTTAATAAATTTATGAATAAATTAACAACATATGGGCATTTGTTAACAGGTAATAATCAACTACAAGGCAATACATTTTTCAAATTCCTTGTTTCTTGAAAGCCATTTTGTCTACAACGTTTAGTAGGTTACGTAAACCCAGACACGTTCTGCCTTGGGCTGTCCGCCATTTTGTTTTGTGTCGATGTTATGTAAGGACTATTTCCTGTTTTGATCAAAGCGTGCAATGAAATTTGAGGCTACAGATTCATAAATGGCAGAAAATGGAGGAAATTGATTGTAATGAACAAGTAGATTACTCTGTAAAAGGCTCGGGGAAACCATTTTTGTTGTAATTTAGAAAATTCAAATTTGTAGAAATTTACTTTATTACTTTTTTTAGAATTTTTTAAACTGTATGTATGCCTGATAATGATAGGTGGATTGATAATCCACTATAGCAGCAGTTCTCGATGGGTGGGACGAGTTGCTATGTGCGGATGAAAATTAACAGAATTGTGTAAAACATAACTGAAATATGATTGAATGTCTTACATATTGTATTTATTATAATTTTTTTATTGGTTCTTATCTTAAATGCTGTGTACATGAATCAATAAATTTATTTCATCTTTCTTTGTCGTTTAGTTCTGTTGCGTAGGATCTGCCTCTATTGTTACATAACAATAAAGATTGTCACACTGTCAGTTTATTTATCTGCCTATCCAAGTTCAGCAAACATGAATGTTACTTGGAGCATTTGATAAGAAAAATTGTGTGCGGTGATGATGAGAAGAATTGATCTTTCGCTTTTAATCCTTAGGCCTACATGTTGATAGCAAACTTTTAAGGCTATAAATTACACAATAACGATCACAAAATTTGAGTTTTATTTTGAAGCAGTTTTTTTTCTCGTAACTGTGCTCGTAACCTTGATAATTTGGCGCCACACAAGCAAAAACTTTAGGAACCGCTGCACTATGCCATATGCATAAGTATCCTGTTTCATATTCTTGATTGTATATGAAATTTTAACACTAGCTTATAAATGGCCGAAGATGTTCATGGATTTTAATATAGTACGTTAGATTAGTTGGAGTCTGATAATTTTTTGTTAAAGATTTATTATTAATTTATCTCATACATTACACTTTTTGATTGTACTTCGTAATTTAAAAATTTATTATTTCTGATGAATTTACATATCGTAGTTTATTTTAAAACGAAAGCTATATATGGCCAATAATGTTCTTTGGATAAATTATGATAATATTACTTGGCATATCTATGGCCATTCATTATTAAGTATCAAGTTTTTTGTATTCTAATTTTATAACCTAAAAACTATTAAATACTACTTGTAAACCTTATGAAATATAAATTATCATTCTTTATGTAATTTGAAAAAATCAATATATTCAGAAATCTAGAAAATTAAAATGAGAGGTGATCACGAATTTTGGAATATATTACTTTAATTATTTTTGTATAATTTCTTAAAAACAGGTATGTGAGCCTGATAATAGTAATAATAATGTGCATACAAAAAAATTTGTATTTGTATAATTGTATGTTTTATAACAAGCCGTGAATAATCTATATCTATAATTGAGATAAACAAAAATATATTTCTGTAATGATTCGCCCGACTAATGTCAGACTTCCTCAGACAAGCAGTTTACAACAATACTGCTTGTCTGAAGAAGTCTGACTTTGGTCGGACGAAACGTTACAGAAATAAATTTGTGTTAGTGTGCGGCAGGACTCTTGAATTGGATAGAATAGTCAGTCATGTTTATTCCAGCTACAGACAGCATCCTTGCATAATTGCTTTATACGCATACGGATCCACTAGCATAAAGGCATGGAGGAAAGATAGGGAGTCAGTCTCGCGCAACCCAATTTAAATTTATAATTAAGATACCAGTAATTGAATTGTCATGAATATACATACGCTTAAACTGTGATAGTGACGTAACAATTGGCGGTATTTAGAACGTAAAAAGGTTAAAAACAAAGTGTTAAAACTATTTCACTTGAGTTCGGCAGGCTGAAACCACAGGGTGGTCACTAGAAAAGCAGGAAATTTGGAGGTCAGATGAGTTCACAAATAAAATGCGTATAAGTATAGTTCAAATTGAATGACACCCACAAATTAACCTTCAAAACGCCACATGAGCCTGGACTTCTAGGTTATGACATTTCTCTGAAGGGCACAGATGACGAATTTTCTGTTTTTCTGGCAACCACCGTGTCGTGTAGTTTCAGCCTACCGAACTCAAGTGAAATAGTTTTAACACTTGTTTTTGAACCTTTTTTCGTTCACCCTGTACATTTGTGAAATTTTATATCAGAACGTACTCCGAATAGTAGAGTAATTTATATCAGCCTTCTCTTAATTACATTTGAATTTTTTTTTATAATACACAAATGCAAGGTATTTAGAAGTCAGTTGAATTTTAAATAAACACTAAAATCAGGGTTTCTCAAACATTACATGTTACGAGCCTGTGAAGAGGCTGAATATTTTTAATGGTACCCTAAAATCAATTTAAAAAAACAAAAACACATTGTACTCAGAAATTTATGTCCCTGAATAAATTAAAATTACTTTATTTAGTGACTCAATGTATTTGCTGCTTTATATTCAAAAAAATATTAAGTATTTTAATAAGTTAACGAATAGCTCGTGGAGCCCCTAGGTTTCTCTTTCAGAGTCAGTCGTGGGGTCTGTATGGAACACTTTGAGAATCTATGACTTATGTTTTGCTGTGCATTGTTATGAAATAGCAATTGCATTTTTTAAAATTAAAATTTTGTTTTACAGGAATAAGGCTGGTCCGTCAGAATTTAAGCCGGGCAAGAGAGAGAGAAGGAAGAGCAGTTTTGAGTCTGATGAAGACATTGATGACTTTGATGAGGAGGATTGTGATGTCATAAAAGTTTCATCACCTACAGAAGGATCAGTAGGACAAGGTAATTTTTTGAATTGTCTGATGAACTGTCAGGTTATCCTGGTGTTTTGGCGCCAGAGTTGACACACATTCTTATTCATAATCTAAATTTGTTCATTATATTCGATATAAAAAATTTCGAATTTTGGAGTAGTTAAGAATATTTTATTGAAAAATTAGGAATTTTGATTCGCCAGACAAGCAGATCAAACATACAATATCTCAACTGATAACGAATAACACAGAGAAACCAATGACAATATGTTTATGTTGTTTTAGATGTGATCAACATGAAGATATAGTGATTCATGTAATTTTTCACATAAACTTGCCATCAATTTAGAATGTATTCGAAATGATATTTCTGGTATGTATTCAGAATAGTGAAATATTCGGTTTTGGCCATCCCTGTTTGCCGCTTCTAAAATTTTATACCAAACTAGCAATATACTGTACTTCAAAGATATTTGTAGATAGCGGTCAGCATGAACTTTTGATTGAATTTTTTGCATTCATTAAATTTGAATTCTAAACTTTAAGCTTCTTGCCTCATTTTTTTTTTCAGAAGAAATAATAGACAAAGGAGAAGAAGCAGATTCAGAGTCTGATGAATCAATCCCTGATACGAAGAATTCTAAGAAAGATAAGGTATGCCAGACATGGTTAAAGGATTGTGTGCGGCAAGAATCTTTTAGAATTATCATTATCACTCTTGCTATAACATACATGTTGAAGAGACCGGTAGTCCCGTAGTGTGTGTACCAGGTTAGGGTTAGGCCATAATTTTATTCCGATTTTCCTTTTTTTAGTTTTAATATGAGTTTGTGGACTGTCTGTGTTAGCTAAGTGAATATCCCACTGCCCATAGGTTGCAGTCCCTTTACACAACTTGATGTAAAAGAGGCGAACAAAATTAGTTACCTCCATATTGGTACACATATTTGTGGAGCGCCAAGAGTCCAAGGGCCAATACTATCCCCATGAAAACCGTCTTACTTGGGACGTATTTGGTAACCAATGATAAATTTTGATTTTGTTGATACCAATTTCCTAAAAAAAAAGGAATATTTGTTCACCTGTTTCTCATGTTCCACCCATTTTGTTTATTTGAGACCATCAGGACTTTTCAGTCGTTACATGTTTAAAGCAGGGTTTCTCAAACGCCATGGTGGTGATCTTGGTGGTATTTGGGCGATTACGATAGTCGGTAAAATATGGTAAATGAAAAATGCCAAATTCTGAACACCGAAATCTGAATTTACATTCCTGGTAAGGAGCAACTGTGAACCTTCATTACCCGTCGGCCATTTTGTTTTTCAAGGTCGAAAAGAAGCGTTCAAGGACAAAAAAGAAGCAAAAAATGTTTGGTAAAGATGGACAAATAACCGGAGAAACGAAGAAACGTACGAAATCTCAACCTAACAAAAGGAAGAAAATCAGGTGAAATGACTTTCTATAACCCATTCTCATTTTGAACAAGGCTCTGTAATAATACAATGTATAAGAGTGAATAAAAATAGTTATAATTTGTCATTGTGTTTTTATGCAAATTCAGTTATTTGTTATGCCTGTGGTTCCCAACCAGGGGACCGTGGCTCTCCATGGGTACCACAGTGCAGTTGGAGGGGGGGGGGGGCACAATGCTAGAGGCAAAACTGATTTTACTTTTTCTTTTTGCAAGAAAATTTTCACCCTTCTTAGTGTCAATGCTTGGCAAGGTTATTTCACAGAGTGTTTTCACTTCATTGAGCATGAATAGTTCAAACATAATAGGATTTGGAATCTACCAATAAAATAACACTATAAATATCACTGTAATGACAAACAGGGGGGCAATAAGTGCTAAAAGGCCTCTGGAAAAGGGCCCTGTGTGCCATAAAAGGGTGGGAACCACTGCATTATTCCTTCATTCAATCTTTCGTAATTTCCAGGAAAATCCTGAATAGAAAAATATCCTATAGTCTATTTATTCTTTCTTGAATTTCCAGAAAAAATCCTCACAGAAGACAAACTGCAAGAAGAAACATTACAAAGCACTGAGAGATGAAGAAGAAAGGCGGAAGCGTCTTGGACTTTTCGCAAACAGCGAGCGACGACGAAACCGAGAAGACTGGCGTCACTTTTAAACTTATCGACGAAATGACGAAGATTAGAGCAGATTTTCCGGAAATCCCCCTACGAATTTTGAATCTCGTTGATGACATCACAATGGATTATGAAGCAATACCAGTTCGAGTTTGGATATTTTGTCTGCGACCCCTGTTAGTGAAATCGAAAGGATTTTATCCCCCCAAGTCTCAGTCAGTGAAACTATGACTGCGTATGAGACTATTCTGCCACCAGTTTCCACGGCAACACCAATGCTGCACCAATCAGAATCAACGGGAAGTTTATCAAGCGAAGTGTCACGCTTCGAGCAACTTTTAAGAGAAGGGCCCTCTAGCGGCCAGACTATGAGTATTCAAACTCCCCAAACCCAGAATAATGTGACAATGCCTTCTAGGGAACAAACTGCCGTAAACTTGACACAGTCATCATTACCGCAACCACTACTTGAAAAACAGTTTTTGGTGACACCCAGTGACCAAATTTTATCTTCAGTTCTCAACATTTCTCCAAATATGCAATTGTCCGCAACACAAACTGCCCCAAAGTATACTTTCCCTACCCCCACACCACAATCAAGAGAAAGTATGCTGAATGCTGCCCTAACAAAATCATTGACGCCATCTAGCGGCAGTATTTCAGCAGTTCCTAATCTACCTACAGTACCGTTCCCAACCCAGCAGCGCTTCAGGCCTCCAGCACCTTTGATGAGAAGACCTGCAGGTAACGTTACTTTCTGTGATCAAAGAATACTCCACCAGTGAGTGATAGGGAGTGAACACCCCCCCTAAAATTTTAAACAACCTCCCTAATTTTCAAGTGTGGCACCATACTTTAACTCCTAACATAAATAAAAATGTGTTTGAATATTCAGAAATTGGCTCATATGCCGGTGAAGATGATTAATCGAACACATTTTCAGAAGTTACAAATAGTTTCATCATCAATAACAAAATATCTACCACACCCTAAATTTGGAAACACTCCCTCTAAAATAAAAAGCTTGGGAACATACTGTACTCCACAATTTCTGTGATTGCTTTGCTTGTAGATGAATACCATATATTTCTAAGTGTCCAGTTTTCGGCTCACTCTCACCAGGGGTGTAGCCAGGGGGAGGGGGGATAGGGTCGGAACCTCCCCCCTTTTGAAATAAAAAAAAGCATTTTTCTGTATCATACATAGCAGTTTTCGGAGTTTGAAACGCTTTTTTAAACCTTATGAAAACCTACAGCCCGCTCGCTGACTGCTATGATCTAACTTAGCAATTAAAAATTTCCGAACCCTACTTGAAAATTTCAGGGTACGCCCTGGGTACTATGATATTGGCCAGATAGCGGCAGTTTGTCTACCACTGGCTCACAGCATCAAATGCTTGCTTAAAACTTACTACATTAAATATATTTGCGAATTCGATTCAATTAATTGGTCAGCTCTTCTTGAGCTACCATGTTTCCTCTAAAAATAAAAACTACCATGAAAATAAGACCTGGCCTGAATTTTGAAAAATGATTCTAATGTAAGCTCTCCCCTCAAAATAAACCCTAGTCAAAAACGCTAATTATATTCTTCGGAAGAAAGTTTAAATAAGACCCAGCCTTATTTTCGGGGAAACGCGATACCTGAAAAATTACCAAAGTTATTGAAAAAAAATAGCATATTACTGCTTACTTGCTTATTAAAACCCAACTACATTAAATATATTTGCGTATTCGATTTAATTATTTAGTCACCCCTCCTTGAGCTACCTGTAAAATTATCTAAAATCTTGGAAAAAAATTACTTATATTTTCCTCTTTTCAGCCCAAAACTCATCCGATGTGATCTGCATAAGTAGTGGAAGCAGTAGCGATGAATCTTCAAAGAAAAAGTCCGCCATGAAACGATCAGAAACAATTAATATCAGCTCAGGAAGTGAAAGTTCTGATGAAGTTATTTTCACTGGAACTGATGATAATGAAATCGTAGAAGACCCAGATGTCAATAACAGGTTTGTGTGGGTGTTTTATACCAGGGGCGCACCCAGGGGGTGATTTTGGGGGTCAGACTGACACAAGGCCTGTTCGTTTCTTTGTCGCCAATTGGGTGACTAATTTATGACCTGGAGACGCTGAAGTACGACTAAGAACGGAAGAATGAGGAGTTTCCCTGTAAAGAAAAAGTTAAATCAGTCCTGGCTATAGCATTGCAGCCCCTCAGGGGCCCCTTGCGGGCTGGGCCTATGTTGAGAACCACTGACCCTAGAATTCTTCAGCACGCCAACCCACACACTTCGAAAGCGTGCCGTTTTTGTCAACCCCTCAATATCATTAATTCGGGCCAGGGGCCAATTATTTTTTTCCACCTGATCTGGCAGGCTATGTAAGTGTGACGTATAAAGTTACATTTTATGAACAATATTTGCAGTGTTACAAAAGCAAAAGTGTAAAACAATAAGCCTCGTGCCAAAACTAAATTCAATCGCAATCTCAACGAATTCCTTGAGAGCTATTTTTTAGCTAAAACATCAAAACTTGATTTTAGTTTGGTTGTGGCAGCATCAAGTGTGTCAGATTGGGCCAACAGGCTGCAGTTTGCCCCTATTAGCTTTAAACACTGGGCTATCAGTATCACATACTAAATTGAAAGACTAATTTTCTCTTGTTATTTCTTTCAGCGGAATGCACGTCAATGATGCCATGAATCAACCCGACCATGAGGGACGCGTTCTTGTGAATAAAAACCGACCACCAGATGAGCCAGAGATATTTTTAGCCTCCCGTCTTGCAAAAGCTGTTAAACCCCACCAGGTACTTCTTGTGATGTATCTTATAAATAAGTTGTGTGGCCGTGCCACTGCTTAGGCTCATCCAAAACAATACATAGTGATCATTTGTTATCTTCTTATCTTATCCCTCATATTGCATGTAGGCGCCAAATCGGAGTCGCTATCTAGCGCCAACACGCGTTAACGGACGGTTGCTCTCTGAATCGTTTCGAGACTCCACAATAAAAATACGCGTACAAATCGCCTTTTGAAATTTCTTGTTGTCACGAAAAAGGTACGTTTAAAATGCAGTGTACGTACGATTGAAATTCAATTACAGTTGAAAGTACGAATCAGTATACAGTTGTCAATTTGTACGGTTTTCTAAACAGAAATGAAAAACAGTCTCAAAATATGTCACACAATAAAACTTACCAAACATCTAACTAATTAGCACTTAAAAAGCACAATATTTATCAATTTAGAATCACAAATTAATTGAAAAAGCCAAAAATACAGCACAATTGTTTACCTTAAAATTGCAGTTTCATATCACTAAATAAAGCATAAAATACGATAAATCAAAGACTTACTTGACGATGTAGCCTTCAACTCAAAGAACAACCAATTATTTGACTGGAAGCTATTATTTTAACTAGCTCTATATTTGATCAGATCTAACAAATAAACACACAAAATATCATGAAATAACTACTTGCAACTGTTTTCCTAGCCTACTGAGAATAACGAACATCTAAACGCGAATAGAGCTGGGAAAGATTCAAAGGTAACTTTTACTAAATATATGACTTAAAAACCCGGTTCCTTGAGACCTTAAACAACTAAAAATCTAACAAAACTGGAGAGCAGATAATCACTGCCAACATTCCCGCCCAGAAAGCAGCGAGCGAAAGAACGAGCGTTGCCAGAAATAAGCAACAACACAAAGAGAGCTGGCCTAGCAACACAGGACAAATTAGCATAATTCTATGTTCTAATTTGTTAACAGTCTGCAAATCGGGGTAGGTTGTCATCAGAAAAATATCATAAATTACACTAGTACTAAACCCTACTTGAGCAGCATTAGATATGCCCAATACAAACCTAGAAATAACTACAAAACAATACTAGAAACATGGCAACATCAATGTGTGAGGTTATGTTGCAATCGCAGAATACGCAAATCACAAAATCAGTCAAGTGTGAAATAAACGAAAACAAATGCGAGGCGGTTTCATCCCGGCCCCTTGGAAATTTAAAATTTGCATCCACAAATTTACAAGATTTCCACACACTCAAAACACATCAAACACACTCAACAACCATGCCAGAAAGAAATTCTTTAAAACGAAATTGAAAAGTTATCAAATCATGCTTCATCACACTCACGCAGAAGTACAAGTTTTGTCACAGGGCGTTGGAATATGGAATGTTTGGTTTGAACACCCACGGAACGAACCCTACCCTTGCTATCCTGGTAAGTTTCAATGACTCGTCCCAGCAACCAAGTGTTTCGTGGTTGATTCTCATTCACAACAAGTACAATGTCATCCTTTTGAAGATCTCGTTGCACTTTGTTCCATTTTTGTCGACATTGAAGAAGCGGAAGGAATTCCTTTCTCCAACGTTTCCAGAAAACATCCGCAAGATATTGGACTTGCTTCCAACGCTTTCGAGCATACATGTCCTTGGGGTCAAACACACCTGGAGGAAGCATTGGTTCCTCTTTCATCAGTAATAAATTGTTTGGACTTAATGGAGTTAAATCTTTAGGGTCGTTCGATACCGTAGTTATCGGTCGTCCATTCACAATATTTTCGCATTCGCACATAAGAGTTCTTAAACTCTCATCTGTCAACACTTGTTCACAGCAAATAGCATTAAAGATTTTCCTTATAGTTCTAATCTGTCTCTCAAACACACCACCATGATGAGATGAAGCAGGCGTTTGAAATATCCATTTGATGTTTTTCTGTAACAAATAATCATGAATTTGGTTTTTGTTCCAAGATTTAATCGCATCTCTGAGTTCTCGTTCACCAGAGACGAAGTTAGTGCCATTATCAGATCGCATCTCAATAACTTGACCTCTCCTTGCTATGAATCTTCTAAGAGACATAATGAAAGCACTAGTGTCCAGACTGTTTGCTATTTCCACATGTACAGCGCGCGACACTAAACAAGTAAAAAGCACACCATAACGTTTAACCTCGCTCCTTCCTTGCTTGATCAAGAATGGACCGAAACAATCCACTGCAACATATGTGAAAGGAGGTTTATCCGGTATCAAGCGATTCTCAGGTAAGTCCGCCATTAATTGAGATTCAGGAGGACGTTGTCTCTTCCTGCAAGGAACACATCCTCTCAAAACACTTCGCACCAAAGCATTACCTTTTACGATCCAATACTTTTGATTTATTTCAGCTAACACATATTCACGACCGTTATGACCAGTTGTTCTGTGGACATAATCTATTATCAAAGAAGCAATTTTACTTTCTTTTGGGATAATAATTGGATGCTTTGCATTAAACTCAACATTTGCTGCTCTGATCCTACCTCCTACACGAAGTAGTCCGTTTTCCAAGAATGGTTGTAAATTACATAAAGAGCTTGATTTTGGAATTTGTTTTCCTTTGAACAAAACATCAATTTCTTTTAAAAAGTATTTTCTTTGTTCATGCTTTATAATTTCCACCTCAGCCAGAATCATTTCTTCTACAGTTAAAGATTCAACAGGTCCAGATTTCAAATTGCAGTTTGATCCAACAATTGACTTTAATTTGTTTATGTAACGTAACATCCAAGCAATTATTTTCTTCAAGTGATACCAATTTGAATATTTAGCAACGACATCATCAAGAACACATGGTTGATCTTTCACAGCAGCAAAACATTTTTCAGGCAATTCTTTCTTAATTTCCAAATTTCCATCAGACACAGAATGTAAGAAATCAGGTTGTTCAGGCCACTCATCATGACATTTCCATAAAAAACTTGGACCAGATTTCCATTCCGGATAATTCAGGAAAGCATCCACTGACATACCTCTGGAGGCAACATCAGCCGGATTCAATTTAGATGGCACATAATACCATTGGTTAATTTCAGAAACTTCCTTGATTAGATTTACTCTGTTAGCAACAAAAGTTTTAAATACTTTATCCTCATTAGCCAAATAGCGTAACACCGTCGTACTATCTGTCCAAAAATAAGATGCAGAAATTTCAATTTTAAGCTCATTTCTGAAAAATTTATCATTGCGCGCAGAAATAGTTGCTGCACACAGTTCGAGTCTAGGTATTGTCGAGCCTTTCAATGGTACTAGCCTAGATTTTCCACAAAGTAACACACAGTGTATTTGTCCAGTGAATTCAACATCCTGAGATAAGACACAGCGCCATATGATTTTTCAGACGCATCCGAAAAATGATGAATTTGAGTTTCTACAACTTCACCGTAATCCACGGGTACAAAACATCTTGGTACATTAAATTCCTTCAGTTTAGGCAACTCAGAAAGCCATTTTAGCCATTCTTGTTCAACTCCCGGCGGTATTGGGTCATCCCAACTGAACTTCTGTCTGCAAAGCATTTGCATTAGAACCTTCACAGGCTGAAGCACTGGTTGTACCAGGCCCATTGGGTCAAAAATAGAATTCACGACACTTAACATGCCACGTCTATTACAAGGTCTCTCTTTAGGATTAACAGAGAAACACAAGATGTCTTCATCAACACTCCAAATCATACCTAGAGCATGTTCAAGAGGTAAAGCGTCAACAGCTAAATTTAAATTTTTCAAATTCTTTGATCTCATATCTTCAGGAATTTCGGCAATAACATTGCGATCATTACTGATCCATTTTAAAACTTCAAATCCGCCTTTTGCGCAGACAGCAGAAATATTTTTCACAGAGAAACGGCACTTTCGGCATTTGGTCTTGAATCGAAAAAATCATCCACATAGAATGAATCGTTAATTGCATTTATGACACTTATATCAAAATCATGTTTATTGTCTTCGGCAGCTTGTTTCAATGCATAATTACAGCAACTTGGGCTGCAAACCGTTCCAAATGGATAAGCTGTCATGCGAAATTCTTTCATGGGTTTATTTATGTCGCTGTCTTCCCACCAGAAAAATCTAAGATAATTTCTGTGTTTTTCGGGTACCTTCACTTGTAAAAACATTGAGCGAATATCTCCCTGTACAGCAACCACATTTTTGCGAAACCTTGACAGAACACCAACCAAGTTATTGGCCAGGTCCGGCCCCTGTAACAGAACGTCGTTAAGGCAGATTCCTTGAAATTTAGATGAGCAGTCAAATACTACACGAATTTTCTTCTTTTCAGGGTGATAAACGCCATGATGATTAATATACCAAATTTGACCTTCACTTTCAGTAGAATCAGAAACTTCTTCTGCATAGCCCATAGTTAACATATTTTCCACAAAATCTTTATATTCGGAATAAAAATTTGGATCCCTAATAAATCGACGCTTGAGCGATTCGGTTCGCTGTTTCACTTGCAAATAATTTGAAGGTAATTTCGAATTTGGATTTATAAATGGCAAATCAATTTCATAGTGTCCGTCATCTTTCAACTTAATAGATTCGCTCACCCTATCAAGGAACATTTGTTGTCGAGGGGAGATTTCTTCCTTTTCATTATTAGCCGAATCAATGACATCCGTGCACATTTGACACAATGGATGCACTTCATTTTTCACAAAATAATTACATGGATTACCTTGATTGTCATTCTTCTTAGGTGGACAACTAATCATCCATCCAGCAACAGTCTTAGATGCAAAATAGTCATGAGGGCCATAGGCAACTTCCAATGGTTTGTGCAATTTAGGATTATCCTTGCCAATCAAAAGACCCACTTCAGATTTAATATTTGGTATAACAACATTCTTAAATTCAATAAATTGATCCACGTCCTTTTGAGAGGGAATATCAGATTGCTCAACACCAATTTTATCGTTTGAAAATAATGGCGTCAATGGCACATATTCAGATTCATCAAAGTCCGAAATTTCAAGACCTTTCACAATGATACTTTGTTTACTTTCAGTTTCATTATTTATTGTACGAACATTCAAATTTATCTTGAGACCATCAACATTTAACTTGTGCATAAGAGACTCACTTATGAATGAGCAAGTGGAACCATTATCAAAAAATGCGTTTGTCACAATAGCATTTTTGTCACCATTAACACGTACTTTAACAGGAATCACATTGAGCAAAACCTTTTCATTTTTAGATGTATTAACAAAAGCATTAATTTGGTTTCAGTTTCAGGTGTTTGAGAGCCAAAATTTTTCAAAACAGGAGATTCATCACCTTTTGTCCCAGAATGATTAATTTGGATTTTGTCTGGAGGATGAAGAACCGTTGTATGTCTTCTCTTGCATCCTTCAACCTTACAAGGCTTTGTTCGCTTACAGTCTTTGCTCCAGTGACCAGGTTCGAGGCATGAAAAACAAAGCTTTCGGTTCTGACAAACTCAATTTTATCTTCATAGCTCAATTCACGAAATTTAACACACTGATTCAAAAAATGATCTTTATTGCATTTAACACATTTTCGTACAGGCCTATCAACAACTGATGTAGCAAATGTTGATCTATAGGGTTTCAGACCTTTCACAGGGTTCGATTGCTTTGGAGGTGAGTTCGAATCATTAGAAGGCAGATTCGTGTTTTCACGAGTTCGTTTTCGAACATAATTCGCCAAATGTTCAACTGTTAAATTCACCTTCTTTTCATTTAAAACGTCATCAACTACAGACAGCCACCCTGCCCTCCAAGAATGAGGCATTCTCATGGCCATCTTATCAATTGTCATAATAGATACATTATTATATTCAATTCCTATCAATGTATTCATACAGGACATCAGCTCTGCGGCAAACATTGTTAGGGCATCTTTATCAGCCAATTTTAAATTAGGACCACAGGAAACTGAATTTATACAAGCTTCCCCTATTTGATATTTTCGTCCATATGTTTCATCAAGCAACTGAATTGCTTCATTATAACATTCAGATCCACGATGCTGGCAACCTTTGACCAGTGCATGAGCAGGACCCTTTGTATATTTAAGCAAATACACCATTTTTTCTTTAGGGCTTTGAACTCTACTTCCAATTACAGTGTCAAATATATCCAAAAAATATCTGTACTCCGCAGCATCTCCAGAAAAAGTAGGGGGTTCCGAAGGTGGTAAACCAAACTGAGGTTGGGGTACATAAATTATTTGAGGGTATGACAAAACTTGATTAGGCATAACAGGCATTTGGGTCACACCTGTCAAAGGGACATTATTTGACATAGTCACTACCGGTACAGAACTTGCTTTAGGAGCAGTATAGATTGGAATCTGACTAGCATTTGAAATAGGTGAGGTGAATGGTAAACTCACACTCATTTCAGGTATTCGAGTCACATTGTTCATAGTACACGCACTCACACTCACCCGGGGAGCTACGGTACTATCATTCAGCATATAAGAACAGGTAGTAGCCACTCCTGAACTAACATTCAACACATTTCTGGGATTCAATGACCCAGTAGTACAAATTATTTGTTCGGGCACATGAGACACATTCTCAACTGCAACATCACCACCCATAGTCACACTAACATTTTGTGGATTGCAAATTTCAATTTCAGAGGCAGGAATAACCGACTCACCATTTTCCCCGGCGATTGTCCTCCTTCTACTCATGGTACTCAACATATTCGTTCTGGTGACTTGTGTGATCTGCGGTTGTGAAAATTGTGCAGTTGTTACAGGTAACATTACAGGTGCATTTTGTACATCGGTTCAGGTTCTGATGGTGTAGTTACAGAATTTTGTGTCGATTGTTGATTAGTAGTATCATTAGCAATAACAGCAGATGGGGATTTATTAACAATTATCCCACTTTCTGCTAAAGTTTCATTAAAGTCCATGTCCAATCCCAGCAGTTCTCGTCGACTTCTGTCTTCGATTTCTTGCAGGGTTCTTTGTTTACGTCGATCGAATGTAACGTTTTCGATCTTTCTTTTTTGTTGTATTTCCTGGCGACGACGCATAAATGCTTCTCGCTTACGTTGATTTCCAATTCTAATTTCTTCCTCTTGACGTTGCTTTTCGCGCCTCAATTCTTCTTCTTGACGTTGCTTTTCTTTTCTTATTTCTTCCTCCTCAACTTGTTGTTGTTGCAGGAGTTCTTGCCACTCCTTTTCCAGTGTCAAGTCTTCAATTTGGTTATTTTCTTCCCAAATTTCTTTTTCTTGTTGCAACCGGTTACCGAGCTGTTGTTTCTCTAGCTCAGTTTTTCTTTGCTGACTTATTTTTCGTGCTTCATAGATGTTTTCTATTTGCGACTCACTAAGGGCTGATTTTTGTGACTGGACAACAGATGTTGATCGATAACTTGCACTACGAAACGTTTTCAAGCTTCGTCTTTTTGAATTTCTTGACAAACAATCCCGAGTTAAAACAGTTGATTTCTTTTGTTTCACTTTTGATCTTGTGGTCATTACATGTGTGTTTGTTGACATTTCTTCAGCAACACAAGATGCTACAGACTTCTCTTTATTAGTGTTCTTTCGCGAACTTAGGTGAGAAACTGAATCCACATCAGGTATTCTTAGGAACAAGTCTTTACTCACACCACTAGAATGATCACTCACAACATTTTCACTTGCCAATGCAAGACTTGATTTAGGTTGTGTTTCAACTGACATTGCAATTATTGTTGTTTCATGAACGTCTGATTTTGCAGAACCGTCATTTGTTGTTGAATCATCTTCATTGTCCTCGACATTTAAGTGAGCATCAGCCGTTGCCATTTTTATTTAACTTCAACCAGGCAACTTCAGAATTAATGTCCAATTTTCCTTTCAGCTTTTGTGCAATCGTCAAAAAACTTATGTAGGCGCCAAATCGGAGTCGCTATCTAGCGCCAACACGCGTTAACGGACGGTTGCTCTCTGAATCGTTTCGAGACTCCACAATAAAAATACGCGTACAAATCGCCTTTTGAAATTTCTTGTTGTCACGAAAAAGGTACGTTTAAAATGCAGTGTACGTACGATTGAAATTCAATTACAGTTGAAAGTACGAATCAGTATACAGTTGTCAATTTGTACGGTTTTCTAAACAGAAATGGAAAACAGTCTCAAAATATGTCACACAATAAAACTTACCAAACATCTAACTAATTAGCACTTAAAAAGCACAATATTTATCAATTTAGAATCACAAATTAATTGAAAAAGCCAAAAATACAGCACAATTGTTTACCTTAAAATTGCAGTTTCATACCACTAAATAAAGCATAAAATACGATAAATAAAAGACTTACTTGACGATGTAGCCTTCAACTCAAAGAACAACCAATTATTTGACTGGAAGCTATTATTTTAACTAGCTCTATATTTGATCAGATCTAACAAATAAACACACAAAATATCATGAAATAACTACTTGCAACTGTTTTCCTAGCCTACTGCGAATAACGAACATCTAAACGCGAATAGAGCTGGGAAAGATTCAAAGGTAACTTTTACTAAATATATGACTTAAAAACCCGGTTCCTTGATACCTTAAACAGCTAAAAATCTAACAAAACTGGAGAGCAGATAATCACTGCCAACATTCCCGCCCAGAAAGCAGCGAGCGAAAGAACGAGCGTTGCCAGAAATAAGCAACAACACAAAGAGAGCTGGCCTAGCAACACAGGACAAATTAGCATAATTCTATGTTCTAATTTGTTAACAGTCTGCAAATCGGGGTAGGTTGTCATCAGAAAAATATCATAAATTACACTAGTACTAAACCCTACTTGAGCAGCGTTAGATATGCCCAATACAAACCTAGAAATAACTACAAAACAATACTAGAAACATGGCAACATCAATGGGTGAGGTTATGTTGCAATCGCAGAATACGCAAATCACAAAATCAGTCAAGTGTGAAATAAACGAAAACAAATGCGAGGCGGTTTCATTGCATATTGATAGTCTTGGCTGTGCCACTGCAGAGGCTCATCGATACAGATTATCATTCGCTATTTCTGACATCACAGATTTATAGTCTTTCGTTGTGACACTACCGAGGCTTGTGCAAAAGAATGCATATTATCATTTGTTATCACCTTATCTTATCTCTCAGATAGATAATGCCAACTCTAAGCCATTCTACATAATACGATAAGATAATACATAGATTATCATTTGTCATCTCTTGTTCTTATCTATTATATCATCGATCGATATGAGGCACATATATGAAAACCCATTCCTATTATTTCTTATCTTATAATCTTTTATCTTACAGATCGGTGGAATCCGATTCATGTTTGATAACATCATAGAATCACTGGAGCATTACAAGAAGAGCAGCGGCTTCGGATGCATACTTGCACACTCGATGGGGCTAGGGAAAACATTGCAAGTGATTGCCTTCATCGACGTATTCCTGAGATACACTGGTGCTAAAACAGCACTTTGTGTTGTACCGGTAAGATTGCTCATATTTTCATGCAGTGTTTATTAATTATCGATCTTGATCGGTAAGTATGTTGATAGGTATTTGTCTGTTTGTTTGCCTGTTAGACACTTTCGTATGTTACGCAATATCTCACGACAACGAGGTTGGATCTGCTCCAAATTGATTTTGGATGAATTATGTCGCATAATTAGCGACTTATTAATTAATTAGTGACGGGACACGCAATGTCGCTATTGAGTCAGAGCGAAGGATAGACGTCGCTAGATCAATAAGTTGGCGATCTCTGATCGCTATCTCGTTTATGTCTTTATCTCGCCCATGGATTCACTATGTTTTTAGGAGAATGGAAATCTTTACTCACGGTTTCATTCTATGTTTAGTCAAATCTGAAATTTCTTATTGTTAGATCTTGAAGACCGTAACAGCTAGATGCAGTGATTCTCAACCTTTTTTTCTTCATGGCCCATTTTTGTTGCACACAAATTTATGTGGCCCATTGACTTTTTATTGCAAAAGAAAAAGCAAGATGTTTCTGCGAAAATGGACAATTTAACGTTCATAATTAGAATGGGATTTACCACTCTATAGCAGAAACAGCATTGTCATTCATTGCTGCTACAATCAAAACTAACTATTGTGATGTAAATAAAACTAGCAATTTTTAATAGTATTGCGGCCCACCTCAAAATCCTTCTATGGCCCATTGGTTGAGAACCAGTGAGCTAGCGTGTCCGGCGTTTCAAGCTAGTAACACCCCAAAAGGGGGGGATTCAGACTTTTAGCCCCCACACCCACGATACGCCCCTGGTTTGAAAAGACTGTGATTTTACTCTGAGCAAGGCTCTTCTAAAGCAGTCATTTATCACAAGTGATCAATGTTATTTATGCCTTATGCTAGTGAAAAAATTCTCGCCACCTTTGAAAATCGACTTTTCATATATTAATTTCAAAGAAATACTTGGACACACTGTCACCCTATCCAGTGTTCACTTCACACTATTGGTTTACTTCTAAAGAGGAAAATATGCGATATATTGGTATTATTTTCTATTTTAAGGTGAACACTCTTTTAAACTGGGTTGCTGAATTTGAAATGTGGCTTCCAATGGCAAAAACTAACAATACTAGTTCATCTATGCAAGATGGCGTTGAAGACGACAATTCAAAAAGAAGACAATTCAAAGTTCGACTGCTTTCTGAGATTCATAAGACAACGGAAGTCAGGTGAATAAAGTTGGAACATTGTGAATTGTACTTTCAGTCAGTAGTTTTTAAGGTACCCGTACTCCCGTAGTATGTGAACCAAGATGTCGGACATCGGAACGTAGTATGTGTACCAGGTTAGGGTTTGACCATAATTTCAGGTACAAATACTAGTGAGTCACATGGATAGTCCCCGAACTCGTAATAAAACTAAAATAAGGAAAATTGGAATAAAATTATGGCTTAACCCTAATCTGGTATACTCACTGTTATATCTGGTATACACATGTGTCCGCCATCTTGGTTCACATACTTCGGGAGTATCGTTTAGACATTATATACTTGATGCAAAGAAAAACTAGGAAAAAAAATGAAAATGGCATTTCACACTGGAGGGTGACACGAAAAAACTAATGTTGGTTACCGAGCAGCGACACCCGTGTTGGAAGTCTATCTTTGATGCTGGTAGAATAGAAATAAGTCGAACAGTATATAAACTTAAAAAGATTAATGTTCAAGAACCAAATCCGATACAAAAAAAAACTTTCGGGAACCAGCAGCGACACAAGTGAGAAAAGTCTAATTTTGATACAAGTTGAATAAAAAGAAGTCGAACAATATATATGTAATTGGGAAGATTTTGGCTTTCTAAGAATAGATGAAAGTGCCATCCACAAGCGATGCAACATAGCAGTTCTTCATTTTTCTTTAAATTTGTTTTAAAATGATAATGTTATGGGTATTTTCAGACCTCTAAAAGTAGGGTGACTTACTGCCTTCCTCATCCTTATATTTTTATACTACCTTATCAGATAATGGATACTTGCATGCGACCACTGGGCATGGTAAAAGCTATATAGTTTAAGGCATCCACTTGCAATATCATTGCCCATAGATTGGACATGATCGGCTCGTTTGGTAATGCAATCTGGCCCGCCTGATGCTGCCACAACCGAATAAAACCGAATTTTGATGTTTTAGCTAGGAAATAACTCGAGAAATTTGTTTTAACACTGCAAATATTGTTCATTAAATGTAACTTTTTTCGTCACACATACATGGCCCGACAAAATAGTCGGGCAAAATTTTTGGCCCCTGGTTTAAAAACCTTTCCCAATCTGCAATAGATCACTGTTTTTAAATCGAAATTAATTTTCATCCATTTTTTCAGAGCGCAAGTAATATCGTCATGGAGAGCGGAGGGAGGTGTTTTGTTGATGGGATATGAAATGTTCAGGTAATTATTCATTCTCATAAGTTCTAAAGAGTATTTGGTATTCCCATATTGTGAGTTGAATGGGAACAGGACATTTTTGCGCTTTTGGTATATGGGAACATGGCATTATTGTGCTTATTATTTTTCTAAGTTGAAAGGGAATATAACTGTTTGCGCTTATGCTATTTTTTTTTTTACTAAAATGAATGGGAGCATAACAATTTTGAGATTTAGTATTTGATATTTTTTGGATGGCAGCACAATATTTTTATTCTCCTAAGCTGAATGGCAACATACCATTTTGTGCTTTGGAAACATAAAATTTTTATGCTTATGGAATTTAATATTTTCCTAAGGTGAATGGGAACATAACATTTTTGTGTATGGAATTCATTATTTCCCCAAGTTGAATTGGAACATAACATTTTTATGCTTATGGAATTTATTATTTTCCCAGGTCGAATGGGAACATACAATTTTTTCGCTTATGGAATTTATTATTTTCCTAAGTTAAATGGGAACATAGCATTTTTGCGCTTATGGAATTCATTATTTTCCCAAGTTAAATGGGATTATAACAACTCAGCGCTTATAGAACTTAATATTTTTCCAACTTGAATGGGAACATAACATTTTTGCGCTGATCGAATTTATTATTTTCCCAAGTTGAATGGGAACATAACATTCTCGCACACATGGAATTTTTTATTTTTTCAGTTGAATGGGAAACATACATTTTTACGTATATGGGATCTGTTATTCTCTTGAGTTGAATGGGAACATAACATTTTTGCGCGTATGGGATCTATTATTTTCCCAACTTGAATGGAAACATAACAATTTTGCGCTTATGGAATTTTTCATTTATCCAGTTGAATGGGAACATAACATTTTTACGCGTATGGGATCTGGTATTTTCTCGAGTTGAATGGGAACATAACAATTTTCCGCTTTGGTGTTTTATATTTTCAAAGAGATCAATCTTTTATTCTCTTTCCAATCTCAGGTTACTGACAAATCAAAAACTGAGACGAAGACGGCGAAAAAAGACGAAGAACCGACCATTAGGTGACGTAATTGAAACGATAGACCTTGATGAAGAAGATAGGATTGCGGAATTAACTTCAGGCATGTTTTTGATTTGTGGTTATGAGAAGGAATAAATATTTCTAGTGTGATCCGTAGAATACATCTTAGATTCTCAAAGTGTTGCGGGGTAACCATACCTTTTTTTGTTTTTATTGTTATACGCTTATTGTGAGGCTCTGTAAATGGCCTCTTTACAGGATCCGTAACACCAAAAGTTTGAGACACATAACTTAACACTTATATAACACCAGGGGGTTAAATGAATATTTCAGTAAAGTTTGCTGTGATATATTTTTTAAACTAAGCTGTTGTGTCGTTCAACTTTTTCTTTTTTCACCCATCGTCCCTATTTGATTTTAATGTCAAATTCAAAGTCCTATAAAGTAATTCAACCAATTTATAGGCAAGACCTATAGTCTTCTTCTCATTTGGACCTTTCTTGTTGCTAACTGACAAATTCAAACACTGTGGATATCATAATCAAGTTTAGTCTAGTCAAGATAGTCTGATCTGAAGTTTATGCATCATAAAAACGAATAACTGGCTAAAAAAATCCCATACTCGACATGGACTGGTAACCAGACAAGACGCCGTGGTTTGTCATATGATTAAGCCGTCTTAGCGTCTCTCCTCTCCCCCGGGATAAATCCCATCCTATAGTAAGTTGCATGCCATGAAATATGTTAACTATCTTCTAATAGTCAGAAAGTTTAATAAAACACTTACCAAGTTTCTAAACTTGTAACATAATTTGTGACAGAAATTTATGAAAACCTTGTGAAGCCAGGACCTGACTTGATAGTCTGCGATGAAGGCCATCGTATTAAGAACAGCCACGCCAGTATTTCCCAAGCTTTGAAACAAATCGCCACTAGGAGAAGAATAGTATTGACTGGATACCCACTTCAGGTTGGTATTGGTTGTTTATTTTAGATTTTTATAAGCAATGTTTGTATCAGGGGTGGGCCGGTTACCAGTTACCTGGCCAGATGCTCAAAACCCATTTGAAACTATGGGTTAAAATTGTTTATTTACAATTAACTAGAATAACAGCTAGTGTGCCAACCAAGTGGCACATTATATTCAGGTGCAGATAATACGTGGGGGGGGGGCTCCTGAAGTATGCGAACCAAGATGGCGGACATCGGAATGTAATATGTGTACTAGGTTAGGGTTAGGCCATAATTTTAGGTACAAATACTACGAGAGGCACTTGGCTAGTCTTCGAACTCATAGTAGGACTAAAATAAGGAAAATTGGAATAAAATTATGGCCTAACCCTAACCTGTTACCCATGTTATGTTCCGATGTCCGCCATCTTGGTTTGCATACTTCAGGAGCACCCGTGGGGAATTCCGGTTTGTATTTCAGCTGACGATTCGTTATTTTCATTGATATTTATATCCATAAATGCTATAGTCGTGATTTGTAAAGGCATGAGTGGGCAAGATAAAACACTTCGGTGGGTCGTAGTTTTTTGCTGGAATACGAACACTTTCATAATTTCATGAGCATAATTTATAGTCAAAATTCAGTTTTCTGATAATCGAAAGCTGTGGACAAAGTTGTAATATTCTTCAGCTGGGAGCTGGAGACGAATTTTCTTCCAACCTTGAGTTGGGGTTTGGCATGAATTCCCCTAGCATTGCAGTCCTGTCAGTGACCCTGTTTAAAGCAGCCTTTTCGAAAAGAGGAAAATTCGAAGGAATTTTTGCTTTTTTTGAGGAGGAAACAATTTTTATTACGTTTTTTTTCTTATATGGTCACTCAAGTCCATGCTTCTGAAAACAAATCTCTGGCTAACTAATCCCATACCATACCTGACATGAACTGGTAACAAGACGAGAGTTCACGGTTTGTCATATGATTAAGCCGTCTTATCAGCTTTTCTTTTTACTAGGATTAAATATGTAAATCCTATCCTAATATTGTTCAACAAAGGTTGAGAACCACTATCTGAAAGAGTTCTCCAATTCCTAACCAGCTGTTCTACTCTGTTTCAGAACAATCTATTAGAGTACTGGTGCATGGTGGATTTTGTTCGTCCAAATTTTCTCGGGACAAAGCAAGAATTCTCGAATATGTTTGAGCGGCCGATTTGTAACGGACAATGTGCAGACAGTAACGAATCTGACATCAGGTTAATGAGATTCAGGTCGCACGTCCTTCATTCGTTACTCAAAGGGTTCGTTCAAAGAAGGTGGGTGATTGTTACTTATCGATTTTAATCGGTAAGTATGTTGATAGGTATTTGTCTGTATGTCTGTTTGTCTGTTAGATGCACGCGATATCTCACGAAAGCGAGATTGAATCTGCTCCAGATTTTGCATGTGCATTCATCTTGATTGATTTTGGACGAGTTATGTCGTATAATTAGCGAGTTATTAATTAATTAGTGATGGGACACAAGGTGTCACTATGGAGTAAGAGCGCTGTTTTGAGGGATCCCCTAACTTTCGATCAATAAGTCTTCGGTCTCTGACCGATATTCTCGTTTTAGTTTTATTGATGTGATAAATTACTTTGAACACAGAGTGGAAGGATATTTGGCTAAATTATTGGATACTCTCGAAGTATGAGAACCAAGATGGCCGACACTGGTATGTGTACCAGGTTAGGCCATAATTTTATTCCAATTTTCCTATTTCTGTTTTTTACGAGTTCGGGGACTAGCCGAGTGACTCCCGTAGTAATTGTACCTGAAATTCTGGCCTAACCCTAACCTGGTACATATACTATGCTCCGGTGTCCGCCATCTTGGTTCACATACTTCAAAAGTACCAATTATTGTTGCGATGATCCCTATTCCAATGGTTCGTATCCTATGTCCAGCTCACCTGAAGTGTAATAAAATGGGTAGTCAATACTGAATTGGAAGAATTCCTCTAAAACAGAATTCAAAACTTAGAAAATTAAAATATGACATAGAATTCGTAATGTAGTTTCAAGTAAATTTTTTATTACATTTTGGATCTTGCGAAGTACACTATAACTGCTTAAATAGCGCCAAGCAAATAGGTGGTGTGAAAATATAATCCAAATCTTCATTGTTTTCTAAATTAGAGTTCGTCTTGCGCGAACACAATACGCTGAACGGCACGGTACATACCTGATTAGTTGAAAATTGACTAGGTTCGATTTGAACTAACGCCTGTTGCAAGATTTTTTTTCTGCGCCATACAGACTTTTTTAGTTACATCAAAATTTCACATCACATATTTTTTTGACATTAATTAAGCAGTTACAGCGTTCATTTCACACAACGGTATGTCGTTTACTTGTTGTTTTATATACACCTTTGCTCTCCAGGTCTCATGTAGTTCTCAAAGATTCTCTTCCACCGAAAGAAGAATACGTCTTAATGATCCGGTTTTCTCCCTGGCAAAAGAAACTGTACAATCACTTCATTAAGATGCAGAAAGAGAGTGGATCAGGCAGTTGGTGTAGTTCTCTCAATCCAATCAAAGCTTTCTCAATATGTTGTAAGGTAAGCTGTGATAAGTGAATGTTATATTTTGCCGATTGGTTTAAATACTGTGTTTCCCCAAAAATAAGGGTACTCCCGAAGTGTATGTGCCAGGTTAGATTCCGATTTTTCTTATTTTAGTTTCTATTAAGAGTTTGGCGACTGTCAGTGTTAGCCAAGTCCCCCAAAAATAACGACTCTCCCGTCATGTGTGTACCTGGTTAGGATTAGGCCATAATTTTTTTCTGATTTTCCTTATTTTAGTTCTATTACGAGTTCGGGTACTGTCTGTGTTAGCCAAGCGAATATCCCCTGCCCATAGGCTTCAGTCTCTTTACACAAATTGATTGGTATTCATACTTCAGGAGCGCCAAAATAAGACCTAGTCTGAAAATGAGGCTTAGCCTGAATTTTAAAAATTACCGATAGCAAGCCCTCTTCTGAAAAAAGACCTATTTCATAGCAAGAAAATTTTTTCAAATAAAAACGTGTTATTTGTGAGTAACTGGTTATCGGTTTTTATCTTTTGTTTTTCGAAAATCTCGTAATTCTCTACTTTTTTTTTGATTAATGAAAATAAAAGGCATCTTCAAAAAATAAGCCCTAGTGTTATTTTTAATATGTTTATTTTATTACATCATATTGCACTTACGTAGTGACATATATATATACATTTTCTTAGGGTAGGGAATCTTTTATTAATGAGTCCCCCCGCTGGGTATAACTTTAGCCCAATAATCGTGCGTTTGATTTCCTAATTTTTCCTTAAATTATTTATTCGCAAGACAGTATTCTTGGTTCAAAATTTCTACATTATACTTTTTAGATTTGGAACCACCCTGATGTCTTGTACCGCACTGTGGTTCGTAAAACGATCGAAGAACAGCAACAGAACAACGATAGTTTACTGGACAACGATCTTGACCTACCTGATGCAATTTTAGACGGAGTTTTGTCGAAGAAAAGGCGACAAAAAAAAGATATAAGGTGAATAATAATTTGTAGATTTTTTGGCGCTCCAGAAGTATGCGTATCAATATGGAGATAAATAATTATGTTCTCCTATTTTCAAGTTGTGTAAAGGGACTGGAACCTATGGGTAGGGAGTATTTTCACTTGGCTAACACAGACAGTCCCCGAACTCGTAATAGAACTAAAATAAGGAAAATCAGAATAAATTTATGTCCTAACCCTAACCTGGCACACATACCATGGGAGTATCCATAAATCTACGATTGGTAGAAAAATAAAACGTTCGATGTCGGTATAGCTAGCTTTTACATTTCTTTAAAACACATTTTAATATCCAGCAACATTTTGCTGTCGGATATTTGTTCCAGGTCGACTCCAACCACCACCGCCACAACAAACTCATCAACAAATTCTGCAGAAAACGGTAAACTTGTTCAATCCGTCGGTTTTAATCCTTTCGGATCGGAAGAAAAGGACAAAGGAATTAACTATGACTGGGTAAGAGTGGATGTTCCGGTGGGCAAAATTTTTTAATATGAGAGCCGCATGCAGCAAGTCAGAAATATGTGATATGTGATGTTGGAATTAATAATATTAGATTACCGTGAACTGAAAAGAACTTTACACAAACGTATAATAACAATATTGCAAAGTATATATTCTTCAACCGCTTAAAGAATTGAAAAAAAAAACTGTTACGCTACAGTTCTCTTAGTTAAATTTAGATAATATATAATTATTGCCAGCGAAAAGAGCTGCATAAAAACTCCGTGCCGCGGTTCGCCCATCGTATGTGTATGTACTGAATCGAATTTTATATCGGGGCCAACCAGTCAGAGACCAAGAGCCGCATTTCGTATGTTATTACTGTGAAGAGCCACAATACACACATAAACATCAAGTTATACCTTTATTCAGCTCTGCTAGAATGCTAATTTATTGTAAATATCACTAACCAACATGATTATGACAGAAATTTACAAGCCATTTATTGTTATACATCAGTGGTTCTTAAACTTTTTCAAGCGCGACCCAAATCTGAGTTTTATGAATACTCGCGACCCAATCCTAAAAAACGCAAAATACGTTTTTAATGTTAGTACAGTTTGACTCAAATACAGACAACTATTTATTAGAAACAGTCCATTGACTCAGTGAGATTGATGAAACTGAAATTTCCTTTTTCATTATATCTTCAATACACAGCTCTATTTTACTCAACGCATACGCAAGTTGTCACGGGTATCGAAGCGATTGCGAGCTTAGTTTTGATAACCGTCAGTGCCAAATATCCTCGCTCGCACAAGTGCCTTGTCGCGAATTGTAGCAGAAAAGGCGTCCGCTGTCCGTCGCAAACACGACATCCTAGCTGGCCTTCGGTATCTCTCGCAATATACAACTTTCTACTCGTCACATGTGCACGCACTGCTTCGTTCGCGGTAAATGGTGCCTCGAGATGAAGTCACATTTTCTCTAGATATTGAATAATCTAATGTCGAGAAGCGAGCTTTTCATTGCGTCGTCTATTACAATTTTCATTACCAAAAAGACACCCATTTTTGGTTATTTTAATCCACTAAGACGACATTCCATGCGGTCAACACAACGACAAGCGACGTGCATGGTTACCGATACCATAAAAATAATACATGTGACTGGCATATCAGAATTGTGATGTAACAATGAGCTCAAGACAGTTCTTTCCGTGAATGAAATTTTTTATTTCATTATTTTTAAATACCAGAGTTTAGAAGCTAAATTGAAACATTGGGAAAGCTGAAAATTCGTCCTTCTCCTCTTAGATTGCATTGACGACCTTGTCGCGACCCATACTTTAAGAACCACTGTTATACATGGTACTTAGTGGGACTAAAAATAATTTTTTTGGAGTTCATAGTAATAAATGTGTATAGCTAGAATGATCAAAACCCGGTACTCCCGTAGTATGTGTACCAGGTAAGAAGGGGCGCAGCCAGGATTTTTTCAAGGGGGGGGTTACGGTGAAATAAAAACGCGTTTATAGGTCTTTAAAAAGATGTTCCGATGATGGCAAAACAACATGTGCGTCGCTGTGTCTCATTAGCCTTTCTTTGCATGTCCTACTTTCAGCAATCGCCGACCATTCTCTTTGGTCAAAAAAAATCAATCAACTTTTCATTTCAATGCGCCGTTAACTATATTACTGAAAGTGAATTCGTCGCAAATTCAAATTCCTGTGATATTTGCACATAACGCTTCTCTACTTTTAGCGGCGATTTATTAACATATTATTACCAGTTTGTTAATAATGCATGCTATTACTTTTGGCAACAGGGTTAAATTGGTTTATCATTGTTTCAAGCAAGAAAATAAGCATTTGTTTTTTTCGCTTATTCAGCAATCGTAATTCAAATATTTCCCTATGCGAAAGAAAGTCTTCACTCCGCGGGGTGTCCTTGCGTTTTAGAGTTTCAAAGTGATGCCGAAAATGCCGATGATAGAGAAACACCGAAACATGTGGCTATTTGTTGCCAGACCCTGCCCCCTTTGACAGGCGTCAATTCGTTTATTTTGTTTTGGCATTTCAACCTTTAAGTAATCGCCGATTATTACCCCATTGTCAACAGTTAAATAAAATGCCATCGTCATGATTTTAATTGAAATACCGCAAAAAATGTAAACTAAGAATAGAATGAAATATTAGCAATCATGAAACATTAAGAAATAGCATAAATTAATGATATTTTGCCAAATGCCAATGGTTCATAACTATTTTTGAGTGCGTCACGAAATATCAATCCATTTTCCAAAATAAATATATTTGATGTTCCCGTATTTATAACTTCATAAAACGATTACAATCATTTAAAAACAAGCTCATGTATTCGTACTGATTGGGAAACGTCTTTCAATGTAAAACTTCTTGCTTGTTGCAATTAACTGTTAATAAATTCTAATTTTTTATTGCAATGCATCGATGACCTATATTACTGAAAGTGAATCGTCGCGAATTTGAAATCCCGCGCCGTGATAGCTGCATTCTGCGCATAGCGCTTCTTCACTTTCAAGCGATAATTTGACTATAAGAATTTAATTATAAATTTTAATAACATATTGTTACCAGTTTATTGAAAAGATCTGGAAGACAACGCATGTAACTGCTTTTTGCAGACAGACGATTCCAAACGAGTCTTGGACGAGTTTTGCTACCCAAAAATCTCGAAGATTGAACATTATTCTTAAAAAAAATTTCCCGAAGATTGAACATTATATTACGATACTTTTTACTCGTAGATTGAACATTATTTTGCAATGCTTGTTTTCGAAGATTGAATATTTATTTTATGACACCTTTTTCCGATGCTGCACATTTGGCAATCCTTTGTTAATGAACCATACATTTCCAATAATTCATTTTGTCTGTATTTGCTTATGATCCTGGGTGCCATCGCTTGTTAAAGATGCACTACATAACTAAAATTCGTAATTAGCGATAAGCCGATAACCAACGATAACGTATGTGATTAAAAGTATGGATGCGTTGAATGTGGCGAGGCGAGAGCGCGCTTGTGGAATAGTTTTGACGGCAATAGTGTGATAGGTCCGTTGCTATTTGTGTCAAGTGAAAGGTAGTACAATTGTATTTAAAAATGTTTAGTGTAGATTGTCACTTCCGTGACCTCCCGCTGGCAGCTAGATCCACTGCCGCGTAACAGCGATAACGAATCGTAAACATAAATAATAAATTAGGACGCTGAGTGATAACGCAAAGAATAAAATTATTGCAAGTAAACGTAACACTATTAAAAAAAAAAAAGATTCCAAAGGGGGGGTTACGACCCATGTAACCTCCCCCCTGGCTGCGCCCCTGCAGGTAAGAGTGCTACCTATTCCCACCGTTCATTACCTTTTGAAGTGGGACTCCATATTTACTACATATTGTGGAAGACTTAGCTTAGCAATTATTTTTAGTAAGCGACGATAGATTTTATGTGGGTGTCATAGTAATAGAGCGCGGGGGTTAAAAAGTTATAATGGAAAAATATGTGTGGTGGTTTTAATTAGGCTGTTGGGTTTGGAAATTTTAATTGGATTCAGCGTCATATTTGGGGGCTCCGAAAGTATTCGTACCAAGATGACGCACAACCTGAATAACCCTAACCTGGTACACATGCTATGTTCAGGTTGTGCGTCATCTTGGTACGAATATTTCGGAAGCACCCATATTTGCATTAATAAGTTAACTCAGGGGTTCCAAATTCATGGAAATGAAGTAGTACAGGTATGCAACCTGTCGAAGTAGCCTACCAGTACCGTATTGCAGCCTAGCAGCAGAATTGTGAAAGGGAAACCGCCACAAAGAGCGCAATTTTAAATTTTGAAGTTCTCATACAAAAACCGATGTATAGCTAGGAAGATCAAAAACCTAGCACAAGCGTTGTAATATAAATACCTTTCCAATGGCTTACTTGATCTGCCTCTAATGGAAAATTTTGATTTAGTAGTTGGCAACGCCAAACCGTAAGAATTACAGCTCCCAAAAATTGTTATATTTACGTACATTGTTTTTCAGAACTTATACAGATTCCTAAAAAGTTGGTTAATACCATATTTGTGTATGAACAGCAATACAAAATATTATAAATATAAAACCTTTTCTTTGACAGGCGAAAGAACTTCTTCATGACTACGTTCCTGATCGTCTTGAATTGTCCGGAAAGATGTTGATTTTGATGCAAATAATTCACCACTCGGTGGCCTCAGGAGATAAATTACTCGTGTTTAGTCAGTCGCTGACAACATTGACGCTGATTGAAGAGTTTTTAAATGAAATGAACGTGCCAAACCCCCCCGGGGACACCCCAGTTGCAAAGGTATGTTGATTTTAGCTGAATTGCCGGATTAAAGTTCAAATTGAAAATTAAAGTTAAATATGCCTTGTGTATATAGATTTCAGTCTCTTTACACAACTCGATGTAAAGTGGGCAAACAAAATCAGTGGTTATCCCGAAGTATGTGAACCAAGATGGCGGACACCCGAACGTAGTATGTGTACCAGGTTAGGGTTAGGCCAGAATTTCAGGTACGAATACTACGGGAGTCTCTTAGCTACTCCTTGAACTCGTAATTGAACTAAAAAAGGAAAATTGGAATAAAATTATTGCCTAACCCCAACCTGGTACACATACTACGTACCGGTGTCTGCCATCTTGGTTCACATACTTAGGGAGTACCACTAATTTTGTTCACCCACTTTACATCAAGTTGAGTAAAGGGACTGAAACTTATAGGCAGGGGGTATATTCACCTGGCTAACACAGACAGTCTCCGAACTCTTAATAGAACTAAAATAAGGAAATTTGGAACAAAGTTATGGCATAACGCTAATCTGGTACACACACACACACACTTTCTCTGTTAAAAATGAAAATCTCAAAACAACGTTTTCTTTCTAGGAAATGGCGAAAAAATGAATCCTACTTTCGACTGGACGGCAACACCAACACTGCTGTCCGGGAGAGAAAATGATCCAGATGTTCAATGCAAAAGATAACAATACCGTTCATTTGTTTCTGCTTTCAACAAGGTAAATAAATGTTCATTGAAGCGTAACTAGTCAGAACTTTTGTCCTCATTAGAGATACCATAGCTGCTGTTATGTTGTGCTGTGGGACTATTGAACACCTCTTAAGGGGTGGAAGATGAAAGTCTGGTACGGCCGCTTGCATACCAGTCTGGCATTGAAATGTTAAAAACCTAAAGTAAGGTAAAATCAGGCACATGAAAATGTAAATCCAACTCTAGAGTAATGTTAGATTTATGAACTTAAGGTATTTTTAAGATTTATAAATGTAATAACAACAGAAGCTTGCAATTTCTGAATTAGCCTTGTCTTTTTTTTTATTCGTCAGTTAGGAATTTGAGGCTAGGGTAGATTTAGGAGAAAATATGTGTTCCAGATGTATGTGTATTAAGATGTCGCACAACCTGAATCATAACCAGTATACACATACTATGTTCAGGTTGTGCGACATCTTCTGTAGCTCCAAAATGAATTTATAACATAAAAAGGTATTGGGATATTGTCTATTAAAACAGATTCACAAGCTGCAAAATAACAGTTTCTAAATGGTGGCACTAAAACTCTCAATAGGTGCTAGCAATTATGAATTACTTTGTCTATTTTTAGTTCAACAATATATTGCCGACTTTTCTTAATCTATCACTTCACTCAATTTATTTCCAAATTTTTAGAGCTGGCTGTCTTGGCATCAATCTCATTGGAGCAAATCGTGTTGTTGTGTTCGATATCTCTTGGAACCCTTGCCATGATGCACAGGCAGTCTGCCGGGTTTATCGGTATGGACAGAAAAAGAAATGTCTCATATATAGGTAAGTTGTTAATGTTGAATTAATATTGAAATTAATCTAAAATCCATCGATGTTGAAGGGGCTTCGAAAACCATTAACAGAGACTCGATGTCATTTAAATCAGCGCTTCCCAAACTCTTGAGCTCTCGACCCCTTCCAATATTTTGCAAATCCTATTTAGTCGACATCGCGATGCAAGCGCACTGCTTCTCGGGTCTTGCAATCAAAGTTGTCATTGTTATGCAAGCGTGCTTTTCCCATTCTATGTATTCTCTCGAAATCGTGAGATTTATGTTTTACACTAGTTATAATGATTGCGTTTCGAATCAAAAGTATAAAAAAGACCGATAGATATATTACTTTGTGGAAAATTGGTGTACTTTTTGCGACCACTAAAATTCATTGCGCGCCTCTCTGCGGGTTCGCAACTTGCAGTTCGGGAAGCCCCGATCTTAATCAGTTATTTTCAACTTTTATTCTATCGTGGCCTGTTTTTCAGTGTCAAGAGAAATCTTAGGCTCATGAAGCCTTTAATTGAGCCACGATAAACGAAGACTCTGTGGCCACAGAAGTGATCTGTGGTTTATCAGACGGAGGGGGTCACGCCTCTTGTAACCCCAAATGCCCTCCTTAGTCTGACTGAGTCAGACCTATATAACTCTGATTATTTCCACACCATGCATGTAACTGATGTATGGTATGATGATGGAATGTAACTGATCACCTGAGGCAATGGTTCATCTTATATTCAGCTGTCTTATCACCTTTTCTCCTCTGTTATATGCAAAAAATACTACCCTACGAATATTGTCTTTTTGTATTCAACTAAATTTTTTTTCATTTCAGGTTGATATGCGATCAGTCCATGGAAAAGAAAATTTATGATCGGCAAATCTCAAAGCAAGGAATGTCTGGTGAGTTTCTAATTCAGGCTGTAGATCTGTGTTTTTCAAATGGTGGGGACAAGTTTCTGAGAGGCCGTGAAGTTAATTGAAAAACACTCTTACACTCCTTATTTTGGATATTTACAGTTATTTATTTTGGTTTGGCATGTTTTTTCTCAATACTTGAGCAGTAATTGTATTTTCAAATTCCCAGTAGTCAGGGGCGTGTCAAATTTTTCTGTTGCCCTGGGCGAGTTTCTGATAATGATGCCCCTAATACTGCAACTACTAGAAAGCCTATTTTAAATAAATCCTGCGGTTTTGCCCAATTATGTGTATCTGGTTCTCCTGTAATGAAGGCTGCACACTCTTGATGTAGACCGGTGGTCGGCAACCACCGGGCCGCGGCCCATTGCAGGACCGCGGAAAGGTTACTACCGGTCCGCAGAAGGTTGACACAAAACGGACAAGGCTCAAATAACACCTCAACAATCTAACTAAATCTAACCACAACTAAAAAAACATCACCCAATAGCAAAGCAGACAAATACAATGCATCTGAGCAGCATGTCTGACTTCGTAAATAATTTTCACGTCAATATGTCGCACTAATGCTGCATCAATTTTGCCTCTGCGTGAGAAAGTTCCACATCAGTCTAAATAAGATGTCTTGAACCGTAAATATATACTACTACGCTTAAACAAAATGATGATTCTCGCTAACAACGTGACTGTTGGATTTGTAACCGTACGTGACAGCAACGAAATTTGTCCAGTTTGCGATCTTTGTCATACTAAGCTCTCAAATGAGGCAATGAATCCTTAGAAACTTCTTTGAACGATGGGTTGGTCTTGTCAACACCGAAATAGGCAGGACGTAAGCAACATGTTACGTGTATCACTATCGGCCATGTTTTCCAATTGAGAACAGTTAAACAGTTTGTTCGTATAAAAGTGATCCGCCAAAATATTGGTCAGGCTTTACCGGTCCGTCACTTGAAAAAGATTGCCGACCACTGATGTAGACCAGACTTGGGCAAGGGCAAAAAATTTGGCCCACCTAGACTGACGGGCCTTGTAAGTGTGACTTAAAAGTTACATTTTATGAATAATAGTTACATCTTTACAAAATCGAAAGGGAAAAACAATAAGCCTCGTGCCAAATCTATATTTAACCGCAATCTTAACAAATCTCTTGAGCTATTTTTAGCTAAAACATCAAAATTTGGTTTTAGTTATTTGGCCAGCGGGTCGTAGTTTGCCCACGTCAGGTATAGACCATGCAACAAGATTGAAAAACATAACATCATTCTAATTCCAGATCGCGTTGTCGACGAATTGAATCCAATTCAGAGTCTCGAACGACAGGACATCACGAAACTACTTGTCTACGATGACGAGGATCGACCGTTTGTTGATCTCTCTGAATGTGAGAAGGAATGCAGTGATATGACCTTAGTGAGTGCTTGCAAGGTGAATATCTTCATATTTTTTTTCTTTTGGATCAGAATGACATCGCCGAAATTGAGCCCAGCGCCTTCATGCCCAGTAGATGTTGACGGAAGTTTAGTTCATCCACTTGAAATGGGACTCCATATTCACTACTTATTGTGGAATACTCCCTTTCATCATATCCGTTTCAACATGATGTTTCGAATGATATAGTTTTTAGTAAGCGACGTAACATACTCGCAATGGCTTTGTGAACGAGGTCGGACTTGGTAATGACTACTAGAACAACTAGAACCATTTGATGGTTTATAAATTCATTGTGTGGCTCCATAAATACTTTCACCCTCTCCACAGGCTCCATAATATCAAAGTTGAGATCCTCTGGTTTAAATCAGTGTTTCCCAACCTATGGGTCATGATCCAAAACTAGGTCGCCTGAAGACATGGGCTGGTATTTGCAAAAGAGGCCGTGGTACGCCATCTGGTTTAGGGCGTCTTATCGACTTACCTTTTCCGGGATAATTAAGTAAATCCTATCCCAAGTCTAATATACTGTCCCGAAAGCCGGTTTGCAAGATTATTTTACAACTTGTCGTATTTTCTTACAGACATACGGTCAATGGTTCACAAAGAAGCCGTTTCACCATGAATCCCTTCTCATGGACTGCAAAGGTTCCAGGCTGACCAAAGCAGAGAAAAGAGCTGCTCAGAAAGGGTAGGTCTGGAGCAGGATGTGCAACGTTTTATTGATGGGCCATATAACCCACTTCAGACATTCATTTTTTTCATACAAGTCTTTGTATAAGAAGTCACAGACTCTGTAAAGAGCACCAGGCCACTTCTCTTCACAGTTGATTGGTCTACTGTAACCGTTGACATCACTTTCATGGTCAGTCATCTGTGACTGATGACATCACTGATCATGCTCAGCCATCTGTAATTGATGACATCATTGGTGTAATAATGCAATTAACACCAACTACTATTTCAGTACCTCGTAAACTTTCATGGCCTGTGCCCACGCCCCCATCCTCCTTCAAAGACTTGTGTGCTCTTGTGTTGCTTACAGTCAAAAATGATACAGTCAAAAATATTACCAAATTAGTGTAGTCATTGGCGGATGGTATATAGTTAAGGTTCGGATCGCGGGCCCCTATAAACATTCCATGGCTCATTATGGGGCCTAGATTCCAGTTTAAGAACCCTGTATTTAACGATTGTCCTATATTCTAGGTATGAGCAAGAAAAAAGAGCTGCCTCATCAACAAACTACAGTCGGCCTTCCTACGTCAGTTTCTACGCAGCTGCTGGATATCCTCGGAAAACTAAAGCCGGATCAAAAAGTATTTTTGCCCAGAGGTGAGTGATTGCTGCTGTGAGAGATTACGTAAATCACGGATCAATTACAAATTTGACGGCGACTCAACTTTTTCTTTTCAAAACTACGAAATAGAGATGAAATGTTAGTAACATTGGAACCAATAATTTAAAGCAGTGGTTCTCAACCTTTTTAATCCATGTCTCCTTTTTAGAATTTGTGAAGTCTAGTGCCCACCTCAAAATAACTAGCTAACAGTAAGCTACATTCCATCTAATTTCCGTTTATTCCACTTTATTTTTTATTCGCAGCTCTACAACACCAGCTAGTGGCAGACCTGTTGCAAATGTCCGTCCAATTCAGTCGACGCCATATCCAATGAGAGTTGGCGGTTCAGCGGTAAGTTACATGACATTAAAGATTACTTTAAACCAGGGGTGTGCAACATGCAGCCTGCGTGTCAAATGTGGCCCACAAGGAAAAATTGTGCGGCTTGCAGAGAAGTGCCAATTTTGAATGGTGTCCTTGCGGAACGAATTTTTTTGTAAATATGTTAACAATTTATTAAGCGTTCAGACGTTCAATGATTATAAAAGAAGTTGGTATTTAAATACAAAAAGTCTTCTAAGCATTTCTAACAGTCTATCAAAGAAGACTTTTATACCACAGTATTCCGGCAATTGTTGATTTTTCAAGAGTCCACAGCCCTGTGACTAGTGTACTTGTACGAGTCCTAGTTTTTCACAAGAAATGCTTTCATGATTTCTTCTATTACAGACCCCTACAGATTCTCAAATCATTGCTCATCTACAAAGAGCAGGAATCAATGTGCGAAAAACTATCGCCACAACAGGTATCTAGCATAAAATTTTTACATATTTTTTTGTCGCTACAGGAGTATGTGTACCAAGATGTCACACAACCTGAACATAGTATGTGTACCAGGTTAGGGTTCAGGTTGCGTGACATCTTGGTACACATACTTCGGGAGCGCCTTTTTCCATGTGAAAATGAGAGCTGATTATATGACTAATTATTCGACTTGGCAGTGTGTTGTACCATGCTAAGTGTTGAGAATATGCTTGGTCACTGCTCCTCTGATTACCCCATACGTGAGTTCGCAGTGTCGAATGCTGGGGAGATAGTTATGTGCAAGAAGATCCCTGAACTCCTTGCTGCCTCAGGGTGGTTCATGCAATAATTGCCATTTTCTTATGGCAAAAAAAGTTTTGATCCTCGAATAAATCCATGTACAACAATATGGATGGGGGTATTTCGGCCATCGAGTATCCTTGTATAAATACAATTTGATCATTACTCTCTTTGTTTATTTCAGATATTCCTCTACCTCAATCAGCTGCAGGTCCAAGCACAAAACCCCTTGTTGCAGCTGGCGATTCGTTCTATATGATACAAGGCACCAAGGGAATGTATATTGGGACAACTACGGGAAGGATATTTGCGCTTAAATCTCATAAAGTTGATGAGGGGAAATCCCCCTCCCTTGTGAGAACACCTGGAGGGCAGGTAAAATGATGTCATTTATTTATGTGATATGTGTTCACACAAGTAGTTCACAGTAGCTAGGGTTATCACTGATACTTTCTTCATGTGATGTGTTTGTTTGACGTGTGTTCACATAAAATGTGCTCATAATAATAGGTTCATGAGATCACACACAACTGGCACGTGAGTTGTTTACGTTAGCTAAAAGTATCATGCGTTTTTCTGTGTGCAATTTGTTTATGTGACAGGCATGTTCACATAATAAATGCTAAGTTGATGAGATCACACACAAAGTGCACATAAGTTGTTCGCATTAGCTCAAAATATTATATTTCTATGTGCTATTTGTTTATGTGATATGTGTGTTCACATACAATGCGTTCTTGATAAATAAATTTATGAGATCAAATACAAAGTGCACATAAGTTGTTGCTATTTGTTTATGTGACAGGCGTGTTCACATAATAAATGATAAGTTTATGAGATTACACACAAAGTGCGCATAAGTTGTTCGCATCAGCTGAAAATATTATATTTCTATGTGCTATTTGTTTATGTGACATGTGTGTTCACATAAAAATCCCGACGAAAAGATATCTGTTCCTTCCATATAATATTAGCTTCTTACATATTGCTAGATACCAGTTGCTGCTTTTTGTTTTCCAAAATTTCAATTTTGTTTTCTATTCAGGTGATAACATCTAAAGAGCATGAATCTCAACTGATCAAGGCCGCATTCAACTCTTTGCTTCGTCGAAACACTGGCACAAATCAACCAATCAGATATCCCTATTTGCCTCAACAACCAATCAGACCGCCGTATCCTCAAATAGGAAATTACCAGTCGTTTCCGCAACAAAGTAACTTACTGAGCATGATTGCTGGACAATCAGATGACTCGGCATCTTTGAGAAACCCGCAGAATACGACTCCGCAAATTTTACCAAATTTAACACAGATGCAACAAAATTCTTCAATCGAACAAAATCTTCAACTGACTCCGCAAAATTCACTAACGAATCTGCAAAATTTAGACATGACTCAGAAGAATTCAATGATGAATCCGCAAAATTATTCAACTATTAGTCGACAGTCGTCTATAGACCAACAAGCGTCCAATCAGAATCCGCTAATCTCATCTATCCTTACTCAGCAAAATTTAATGATGAATCAGCTTGTTCCAGGAGCGAATCAGCTAAATGCAGCCATGAGTCAGCGAAATTTAAATATGATGCAGCAAAATACTTTTCCGAGTCAGCAGAATTCTGCGGTCAATTCGTCATTATCCAACTTACTAAACTCGGAAAATTCTATGAATGGTCAGCAAGGTGTTTCAATTCCTCCACAAGATGGCAGCAACATGGGTGCAATGAACCATGAGAGTGTTGCTATGGATACAGATTCTAATTCTAGTTTTCCAACGGTCACACAGCGAAACTCTGCAATTGAGATTTCCTCCTTAGCAGATTCAAACACGACACATCAATTCAATTCGTATGGAATGATGAGTCATCAAACTGTACTAGGGTTGCCAGATTCTGTGAATTCGCAAAACATGCTGCTTCAAAATATGAGTCAGCAAATTGCGAACATGACACATGAAAACAATTACATGAGTCAGCAAAATTATCCAAGTATGAGTCAGCAAAATTTGAATTTGCCAAACTACGTAACAGAGTCAACGATTCAACAAAATAGTACGTTACCCCCTACATTTTTAAACCTAATAAGTCAGCTGAATGGAGCAAAAAGTGATCAAATGCAAAATATTCACAAGCTAGATTCCGCTCTTTCTAACCAACAAACAGACTCAACTACTGGAACTGCCAATCAAACTGAAACAAACGATACCTATTCGTCAATACGAGCTATGCCCACCGAGTAGAAAACCTGGTATTCTCGTAGTATGTGTACCAGTTAATGTTAGGCCCTAATTTCATTCCGATTTCCTTTATTTTAGTTCTATTACGAGTTCGGGGACTGTCTGCGTTAGCCAAGTGAATATACCCCCTGCCCATAGGCTTCCGTCCCTCTACACAACTTCATGTAGAATAGGAAAAAAATTAGCTCCATATTGGTACACACACTTATGGAAAGCCAAAAACCCCGCCCTTTCAATCGCCCCTGATTCGTTGTCAACATGTCAATCAATCTTAATTCAAATGTTAGTAACACAGGTTGAATCTGACGCCCACCACCTCGTTCAAATTGGTTCTCAAACTTTTGATATTATGGAGCCTGTGAAGTAGTTGAATATTATTTACGGAGTTCCACGATGACACATTGTTACCTATATTAATCAATGTCCCGGAGTAGATTAAAATTTTGTATTTAAAAATATTCAATATTTCAACAAGTAAAAGGATAGCTTGTAGAACCTCTAGGTTTCTATTCCAGCTCTGAGGATTCGTTTGAAGCAATTGAGAAAATATGCCTTGCATATCAATAACTATTTTGAACTAACTTTTCAGTTGCTACTTTTTATATTTTACTTCATTTAGTATAATTGATTATTTATTTATTGCACTTTTTTCACTTTCAATTATTTGTATAGCTTGTACTAAGGAATTTGTATGAAATATTTTTTTGTTTTTCAAAGGAATTGGTCTTGATGGACTTTTAGTCTAAAAGCTGTAAACTAGTGTTTAATTTGATGATTTTAAATATATCTTGCTAGCCCTCCAAATCTTTTTTTGTGGGAAGGGGGAAGGACATTTTTTTTTCAATATAACGCTTAGGCTTCTTTGCTCAATCGTCATTCTGCAATTGAACCCCCTATCGCCAAAAAACTCAATCAGACCTTGCACAGCATTATTTTTCAACAAGAAATTTATCACATTCGCTTATGGATCCCGAGAGGAAAAATAATTGCGATATTGTGTCAAAACAGCTGCTACACTGCAAAAGTGTTGATTACCGATGGTTAATCGTGTTGCGCAATCTGTGACATCAGTCCCGTTTCATTTTAGCCGCACCTCGTACTTATGTCTTTTGCTTATCTAACAATAACTGATATCTAACAATATCTGATATCTAACAATACCTGATATCTAACAATATCTGATATCTAACAATAACTGATATCTAACAATAACTGATATCTAACAATACCTGATATCTAACAATATCTGATATCTAACAATAACTGATATCTAACAATAACTGATATCTAACAATACCTGATATCTAACAATATCTGATATCTAACAATACCTGATATCTAACAATACCTGATATCTAACAATATCTGATATCTAACAATAACTGATATCTAACAATACCTGATATCTAACAATATCTGATATCTAACAATAACTGATATCTAACAATAACTGATATCTAACAATACCTGATATCTAACAATACCTGATATCTAACAATATCTGATATCTAACAATAACTGATATCTAACAATAACTGATATCTAACAATATCTGATATCTAACAATATCTGATATCTAACAATAACTGATATCTAACAATATCTGATATCTAACAATAACTGATATCTAACAATAACTGATATCTAACAATACCTGATATCTAACAATATCTGATATCTAACAATACCTGATATCTAACAATATCTGATATCTAACAATAACTGATATCTAACAATACCTGATATCTAACAATATCTGATATCTAACAATAACTGATATCTAACAATAACTGATATCTAACAATACCTGATATCTAACAATATCTGATATCTAACAATAACTGATATCTAACAATAACTGATATCTAACAATATCTGATATCTAACAATATCTGATATCTAACAATAACTGATATCTAACAATATCTGATATCTAACAATAACCGATATCTAACAATACCTGATATCTAACAATACCTGATATCTAACAATAACTGATATCTAACAATATCTGATATCTAACAATACCTGATATCTAACAATATCTGATATCTAACAATATCTGATATCTAACAATAACTGATATCTAACAATAACTGATATCTAACAATATCTGATATCTAACAATACCTGATATCTAACAATATCTGATATCTAACAATAACTGATATCTAACAATATCTGATATCTAACAATATCTGATATCTAACAATAACTGATATCTAACAATATCTGATATCTAACAATAACTGATATCTAACAATACCTGATATCTAACAATATCTGATATCTAACAATACCTGATATCTAACAATACCTGATATCTAACAATAACTGATATCTAACAATATCTGATATCTAACAATACCTGATATCTAACAATATCTGATATCTAACAATATCTGATATCTAACAATAACTGATATCTAACAATAACTGATATCTAACAATATCTGATATCTAACAATACCTGATATCTAACAATATCTGATATCTAACAATAACTGATATCTAACAATATCTGATATCTAACAATATCTGATATCTAACAATAACTGATATCTAACAATATCTGATATCTAACAATAACTGATATCTAACAATACCTGATATCTAACAATATCTGATATCTAACAATACCTGATATCTAACAATACCTGATATCTAACAATATCTGATATCTAACAATAACTGATATCTAACAATACCTGATATCTAACAATAACTGATATCTAACAATAACTGATATCTAACAATACCTGATATCTAACAATATCTGATATCTAACAATAACTGATATCTAACAATAACTGATATCTAACAATATCTGATATCTAACAATATCTGATATCTAACAATAACTGATATCTAACAATATCTGATATCTAACAATAACCGATATCTAACAATACCTGATATCTAACAATACCTGATATCTAACAATAACTGATATCTAACAATATCTGATATCTAACAATACCTGATATCTAACAATATCTGATATCTAACAATAACTGATATCTAACAATATCTGATATCTAACAATAACTGATATCTAACAATATCTGATATCTAACAATAACTGATATCTAACAATATCTGATATCTAACAATAACCGATATCTAACAATATCTCTCCACAGACTAACTTCGCTGTCAAAGTTATCCAATCTATAAAACCTCGCAATTTCATCTATATTGGTTGGTTCTTTGGAGAAAGAATTGATAGTAAGGAAAGAAATCGGGTTATTGGTGAATTCCCTCACGATAGTCACGAACGGAGCAAAATAGTGTTGAAAAAGATAAACAAGCTCACTGCGGACGCTGCAAACATGTGTTGAAAATTTAGAAGGTCCCCCCTATGCTTGCATCACATAATGAATGATATACAGGGTGTCCATGATAACGTTTCTTCACAATTTCAATTTTGTTATGAAGTCAGTTTTCAATATATCTTACTTGACAAGGTTTGTTGTTTTTTAATCAGTAACTGTTAAAGTGTTTTTACTGCATTCATTACATCTGGCCTGAAGAATATGTGGTATCGATAAATTCCCTTCATGGACACCCTATATATATCAGAAATAAAATTTAAATAATTCTATTTAGTAGCACAAGAGTATTACGATATTACTGATTTCAAATATCTGTTCAATTATTGTTCGAATTGAAACATCTTTTTTGTGAGATAAACGAATGAATAAAAAAAAGCATATAAATACTATTCACTTCAGAATATTATGCCAGGCTGAGAAGAAATTTATGGTCCTTTTTAAACTAACCTATTAAGTAACGTAGTAATAACGATTCGCATTGGTCATAAGAGTAATAGGATATTATATCTGTTTAATTTCTTCTGACATCACTTTTGAGAGATAAACGAGTAAAACTGCATATAATACTTGTCCTGTGCTGAGAAGAAATTCTGATCTTTTCAAACAAACTTATTAAGTGATGTTGTAGTGAAGACTCGCCTTGGTTTTTATTTTTAATTGTTTACGAATAATATAATCTTATTATTTGAAGGAAGTGTTGTCAATTAATTTTTAGAGCAAATAGTGATATATGGAAATATATTTCCTCGAACAACAACAGTAGTAGTTTGTTTTTTGTGACCCGAACTCTTACTTGAGTGACTTGATCCATTCAAATTTAAATGGGTTGGACTTGAACACAAGAAACCATGAGTGGTTGGTACCCAGTTCAGTAATTGACTTCACTCTAGTCTGGATGACTCTTTCTAGACTCCAAGTTTAGTAAAGTATATAATGATATACAGGGTTTCCATAAAGTTCCTTCACAATTTCAATTTTGTTATGAAGTCAGTTCTCAATATATACAGGTTTGTTGTTTTTTAATCAGTAAGTATTTTTACATCATTTAATATCGTTTAGGGGAAACAAAAATGTGGTATCGATAAATTCCCTTTGCAATTTTAAACATTTTAGATTTCATGGACACACTATATATATCAGAAATAAAATTTTATAATAATTCTATTTAGTAGCACAAGGGTATTATGATATTACTGATTCTATATATCTGTTTAATTTTTGTTCAAATGGAAACATCATTTTTGGGAGATAAACAAGTAAAACTGCCTATTACAATTGTCCTGTGCTGATAAGAAATTTTGGTCTTCAAACCGACCCTTTTAAGTGATGTAGTAGTGAGGACTCGCCTTGGTTTCTATTTTTGATTGTTAACAAGAAATATATTTTTATGATTTGGGAGAAATGTATTCAATTCATTTTTGGAGACGAGTAGTGATATAAAACCATATTCATAGTTTTCGAGAGTCTTGAAAGTCTAAAAACCTGTTTCAAGTTACTAAAAATTGCTTTGTATACAGAAAACAGAAAAATGCTTTTTTTACATTTCAAATAAGGGGGTTCTGACCCTTGAAACCCCTGGTTACGGGGGTAAACTCATTGAGAGGAACCGTTTCAAGATGCAAAAAATTGTTATGTATGATACAGAAAGTAGGAAAATGCTTTTTTACATTCCACGGCCCTCAAAACCCATGGCTACCTACGCTCCTGGTAATGAGGGGGAACTCATTAAGAGAGTCTAAAAATCGTTTCAGGCTACTAAAAATTGTTATGTATGATACAGAAAGATGCTTTTTTTACATTCAAAAGAGGGGTTACGACCCTCAAACTCCTGGCGACGAGGAAAAACCCATTTTGGGGGTCTAAAACTTGTTTTAAGCTACTAAAAATGCTCTTTTTTTACAATTTGAAAGAGGGGTTGCGACCCTCAAACCCCTGGCGACGAGGGTAAACTCATTTTGGGGGTCTAAAAATTGTTTTAAGCTACTAAAAATGCTCTTTTTTTACAATTTAAAAGAGGGGGTTACGACCCTCAAACCCCTGGCGACGAGGGTAAACTCATTTTGGGGGTCTAAAAATTGTTTTAAGCTACTAAAAATGCTCTTTTTTTACAATTTAAAAGAGGGGGTTACGACCCTCAAACCACTGGCGACGAGGGTAAACTCATTGAATAATGTGAGGTAGCTGACCTCGAGTAGTATCAATTTTTTTGCTGAAATAAAACTCATGGTCCTCATTCTATATAACAGTGGTTCTTTTGGTGTTATGAAGCCCGTGTCAAAATGTGGAAACAAGACAGTAATTAAAACATTGCATTATCTATTGGCACTTATAAATGATGTTATATTTGAATTCTTAATTTATTGATGCCGTTATTGTTTATCCAGTGTTGAGAAGATTAGAGTCATTGCCTTGACCAGAACTCTTATGTGAGTGACTTGATCCTTTCAAAATTAAATGAGTCGAACTTGCACTCAACAAACCATCGGTGGTACCCAGCTCAGTAATTGACCTCACTCAAGTCTGGATGAAGGAGGGGGTTCTAAAATTTTCAAAGGAGGGAGGTTTTAAAATTCCTTGTTTTCAAGTTAGACCGGAAAGTGGGTTTTCAAGAGTTCCAAGGGTCTTCTAATAGGCATTGCAAGCTATCAAAAATTTCTACGTATGTTACACACAAAAAAAATACACTTTTTATTACATTTCATATCGGGGTTCCACCCTTTTACATAGAAAACTCTATTAGACGAATTGGACTTTTCAAAAATTCTTTAAGGGTAAGGGTACGTACCACCTCTGCACTGTCTAATACCAATTATTTCAAGTGATTGAGCAAATTTAAGACTTATAGGTTGATGAGTTTATTATTACTTTCCATGCCATAATATTGAAAAAAATATGAGTTCGTGAAAAGCGAAAAAAATTCAAAATCAGATAAATGGTAATTCATTGATGACTTTAGTAAAATATGTGAACTTGTTATTATCCGTTTAGATTCAGTTATTTCCATAATGTGAGAATCGATGCACGAAAGGATTTAAAAAAATGTATAAATGTATGAGAATAATAATAAAATCACACATAATGTAAAATTTAAATATTCTTCACATACAAGAATATCAAAAAAATTAATCACAAAAAAATAAAACACATGATAAATCTTAAGAGGAAATAATATACATATGGCAACAAGAAGGACAAAAATTTGTCGACGCTCCTGTAGTATGTGAGCCAAGATGGCCGGTATCGAAACGTAGTATGTGTAACAGGTTAGGTTGGGACATAATTTTATTCCAATTTTTTCTTATTTTATTTCTATTACTAGTTCGAGGACTAGCCAAGTGACGACTCCCGTAGTATTTGTACCTGAAATTATAGCCTAACTCTAACCTGGTACATATACTACGTTCCGGTGTCCGCCATTTTGGTTCACATACTACAGGAGTACCGATTCGTCTAACAAATTATAAAAGCATTAGTATTCATAGTGGTGTATAAGGGGTTACCGAAAATACACAAAAGTAGAAAAAAAACATGGGATACAACATATTTAAATGAAATTTAATGACAATTTCTGACAATGTTGGGAAAGGCTTGATTGACTCGACTATAGTTTGTCGCAACCTAAGTCTACAAACAAATACTTAACTCACCTTAAAGCAGTACACAATGATGATAAAGCACCAACAAAACATGTCTCAGACAAAAGCATGACTCAGCAGATGAAGTACAAATTATGGCGCTCCTGTAGTATGTGCACCAAGATGGCGGACACCGGAACGTAGTATGTGTACCAGGTTAGGGTTAAGCCATAGCTTCATACCAATTTTCCTTTATTTTAGTTCTATTGCGAGTTCTGGGTATAACCGAATGACTCTAATAGTATTTGTACCTCTAATTATGGCCTAATCCTCTAACCTGGTACACATACTCCGTTCCGGTGTCTGCCATCTTGGTTCACATACTTCTGGTGTACCCAAATTATATAAATTGCCACATAGTTCAACTCAGGTCACTTTACATCAAAGACTCACAATGACGAGAGTCATCTAAATCCGGGCTTCCCAAACTTTTCGGGCCACGGACCCCTATTTGTGAATCTTACTTTTGATGGACCCTCATCCTATGACATATCAATTTAAAAGCCTAACCAACAAGACGTGTATTTTTTCATTTACAACACAAAAGACATTATTGTGATGGATGAGGTTGCATTCCAGTGTACAAATGGCAAGGGCAGAAAATGCTGCCTCACATATGTAGGTTGTTACAAAAGACAATAAAATGTTAATTGACTTTTCTTATATCAATAGATATTCGTCCGCAGCACTTAACCAAAAAGATGCAATGGCTTTTTGATTGAAATCAATCATTGAAGATCGATCAGGCTCATTTTGTATTTCTGCTGGCCCCCTGTGCACCCATCATGGACCCTCGTGGATCAGCGGACCCCAGTTTGGGAAACCCTGATACGAATCCGACTCAACTAGCCAGCAGCATGTCTTAACTCAGTGATTGGCTCGAATTTGATGACCTGTGACCTGACCCGTCAACACTGGTTAGAGATAATCAGAGAAAGCTCCACAAATAAAGCAATATTTTCATTTAACAGAAACAAACTTATTATTGGTCAATTATTTTTCATAATGATTATTCCATGAAAATTCTGAAAGGGAATATTTTCACATGATATTCACATTATTCCAGCAAAAAATAAAACGGAACACCGCACAGCAGTTATATCGAGGAAGGGATTGAATGACGATCTTTCCAATTGAGATTAGTGCGATTAAATTGCAAAATGTGACATATTTGATAATAATGATAAGTTCATTTTATCATTCAGGCTGTGGAGTTGAGTTCAGTTTACTTATTCTCCCTCATCAAGATTTTCCGCTAAAATTTAGGAGTGCAATTTGAAGGTTGCGAAATATTGACATAGGAGTCAAATTTTTCCACTAAATGAACAAATAGAATTAGAAAACTTTTATAGTCAAATTACTTTTGCGCTCTTGTTCTCTTTCCAACCCCAAAGTCGACAATCTGAACTAAATCTGTTGGGGGTAAAAATTACTCAGATACACTGTACAAATGGATAACGCATTTACGGTAAGTCCTGGGCAATCAGGGTCATATGATCTAAAGAAGTGTTTCCCAACCTATAGGTCGCGACCCAAAATTGGTTTGCTTCGAAATTTTCTTGGTTCACTTACTTATTCAACATAAAACAGGAAGATTCATTTTAATTTTTTAGTTAATTGATTTTCATATTGAAGTGTTGCTCAATAGTAATTGTATACCTGTGAAGAATGACAGCTTTTTAAACTTAGAATCTGCTGTTTTGCTTTGGTAAAGCTGCGTCATGAATTTAAAATCTCGATTATGGCAAATAAGCGCAGCTGTCTCACTTTAAGTTCATTTTTGAGAAAATAAATTTAAAGTAAAAATGGTTGTTTCATATTGTATATATATAAGACTATATAAAGCATAATCATTACATACTGCCCAGTATGAGTGCATCCTCGGGTCCCCAGATTCTACAAAATTTATTTTTCAAAAAATTTGGGTTACTTGAAAAAAAAGGTTGGGGTCCACTGATATATGGCATTGCAGTTGATAAATATGTCGGGATCACAACTTGCTCATGCTCTGTTCAGAGTCGACAAGAGGCTAAAACATTTACTTGGGTACTTTGTATAAATTGATCACACATTTGAGGTCTGATTAGAACAGGTAATATGACGGATATATTATTGCAATTCGTATCTATAATTGGCTAATTGCTTGGAGTGGAAACAAAGAGTGAAAATATATTTCTTCTAATGTTTACAAATGTTAATATACTAGGAATCAGTATGTTCCCCAGCTTTTTATATTAAGGGGGGGGGGGAATTTAGAGGGTTGTAGATATTTTGGTATTAGTGCTAAAACTATTTGTAATTTATAAAAATGCGTTGCATTTAACTGATCGTTTTCACCGGCATATGACCCACTTTCTGAATATTCAAATACATTTTTATTTACGTTAAAAATTAATGGTGTCAAACAAACCTGAAAATTAGGGAGGGTGTAGGGGAATCACTGCTGGTAATGGATATTCTGCGACTAAAGAAAAATGACCAGTTTGAACAGAATGTACGTACTTGCTCGAGCCTTGTTCGGAGTGGAAACAAAGAGTCAAATTTATTTCTTCTAATGTTAATCTGTTGGCAAGGATATGATGAGACCAACAAATTAACCAGTTGAAGCAGAATGAAATTTGAGCTTGAATGACCGAGCATTAAAATTTATTCGATACATTGTTTGTGGATTCTAGTTGCCCCTGAAAATGACTCCGGTATCAGCGATCGATGCTTTGAATCTTTCCAACTGATCAGGGTTGAAGTAGCATGCCACCATCCACAAACTTTCAACCTGGCATTGATGAACAATTTCACTGATTGTAGATAAACCTTCATCTCCGAGTCTGCTGACTTGGTTCCCACTCAGAATCAGGCACTTTATCTGAAAATATTAAATTTAAAATTTTTAAATTATTAAGAACACCGCAAAGTTGATAAAATTTTCCTCAATGATACAAAATTTTTTGATTACTGCAGTATTTGTACCAGTAGCAAACTGTCCAAATGCTAATATTTCATTCGACAAGAAATATTATTATCAATACTAATCCAGGTTCAATTTATTTTTAATTTCTACCGCCCTATATTTATGCACATAGAACTAAAGGAAAGTTTTGAATTCAAGTCACCAATCTCCCCTTCAAGCATTATTTTGAAGAACTGAGAGCAAATAATTTTGATTTCCTGTGAAATTGAATTTCACTCGTGAATCATAGTTTGGTGTATTAGATATTAGATACCTGTTACTACTAATAGGAAATGTATTGATCTTTATCAGTCCAACTGAATTTGATTTGATTTTCCATTCGCTAACCCACCAGTACTTTTGAATGTGGCACACCAGACCAGGTCATATTTGAATTTATAGGCCGTTTGTTTTGCAATTTCCCACAAAGACCCGATTTTTGTGAAATCACCCCATTTTCATAAAACCAATATTTAAAAAGGAATAACATGAATTTATCAAAGTACAGCTAATAGGAAATCTAGGTAAAATGCTGTAAACAGAAAAAAAATTTGTTGCACAGTGTTGTTATCCGTCCAAGTAGACTTTAAATTTTTTATCCACTGACCACTAATACTTATGGACATGGGACATTGTTGAAACTAAGTCTTAATTCTTGAGAGAGACGAGCATTAATGTGAGACCTGGTAATACCGAATATATTATGTTTTTATCATTATCAGACTAAGCATATCTTAGTTTTTGAGGAAATGCCCACATAGTGTTGGGACCAAGTCAGTACAGTTCTAGCTTTGTAAAGTAAGCTCCCAGACATAAACACAGTATATCTTGAGTTATTGCTGCAACAAGCAGGTGAATTTATGATTTTTTCAATACAACATGGTAAATCATATTAGATCATTTTTTTTATATTTCAAAGACTTGCACAACAATCTCTTCAAAGTCTCGAGTCAAATTTCCCAGGTGGTAACATGAAATTTGTCATTTTGATTGGTCGCGTCACTTCAAGTCTTTGTAAGATTGTCACTTGACTACATAACTAGAATCTCTCAAATACTTATTTTGACTCCTACAATAATAGGTATATAAATATGGTATATTTATGTCCTATATATATATATTATTCACTGACTGTGCAGAGCCTTGTCTCGAGAAAAGAGTAAACATTTCTTTCCTTCAAAAAGCAGAACTTGGGAATAGTGATAGATAATGATCTCAATTTGTTTATACATGCATAAACATTCAAGCCTTTAAACCAGGGGTTCCCAAGCTTTTTTCAGGACGACCCAAAGACAACTTTCAAGTGTCCAGTGCGACCCCAGGTCGATATATATATTTTGGACCTGTTTTACAGTGAGCCATGGTACAAACTGCTAAATTTAACATGGTTTGTCAAATCTTAGATGCTTTGTACACCCATCCTCTACTATACCTCAGCAACCCCATGACCTGTTTGCGACCCTACCCATTTATCCCTCCGACTCAATTTGGGGTCGCGACCCCTGGTTTGGGAACCCCTGCTTTAAACCAAGCTATTGCTGCAGCAAGCTAGATAAGTTATGTTTTTTCATTACTACATCAATCAAAATGGTACATTAGATCAGGGGTTCCCAAATTTTTTCAGCTTGTGGCAAACTAACAACAAAATTGAAAAGTCGTGGCACACTTATGACAAAGCAGGTTTTTTTAAATCCCCTATCCAAAAAAATAATGCGTTTCGGCGGTAAATAAGATTAAAACAACTCCGCATTCGAAAGGTTGCCGACCCCTGGATATATGTCAGTATTCCACGAAATTGTATCATGACGAGAATTTTTTTTTTTTTTTAATTTTAGTGAAATTCAATATTTTAGTTTAATGCAAGATTTTTTTGAGCCTGTAATAATATTGTATATCGTGCGCACACTCTTTCATCTTCGTCCATGTTTCAATTGACAATATATTTTATAATTATGTTATATTTTATTGCAATTGAAGATAGTCATGTGCGCCATGGTAATAAATTACAGCTGACATGAACGGATTTAATCAGCACCGACTTTTATTTATATCTGCTTTATTATGATAATATTATTAAAGCTAAATTACTATGGCCTTGGATTTTAGAAAAGTTGATAAATTTCATGCTTTGTGTAACATCAAAATGTATTCGGAACTCAAGATTCAAAAATATTTTTTCAGAATGTATTTTGAGTAGTCCAGTATTTGGTTATGGCCATCCCTATTAATAACCCAAATATTTTCAACAATGAGTTGTATTTAAAAAAAATTCAATACATAGAAGCTGTAATGAAACACTATAGCATGAAAAAACGAGACATTATAGTACTCGTTTCTAGTATGAAAAGGGACCAATATCTCCTCCCTCTCACTTGGTAGGCTAGTGCATCCCTATTCCCGAAGAATTATTCTCTGAGAATTTGAGAAAGATAACATGTCAATGAGCATTGTACTGCCTTTATGCAACTCATTACCGTTAAGCTGTACTGTTGCCGTAAGAGACCGTGTATTCTAATATTCTGTATATTGTAAAAACCGGTCTATAGCTGGTCGACTTGAGTCAAGTTGGGAAACCTTTGTACACCAAAGTGTGTGTGATACAACCTCGATAAACCAAAATTGTACTTCCTGAGCTAAGATTTCTTGTCTCTTACAAAGTAAAGCAATAATTACCCAGGAGGATGAACAATTAAAACAACAACATTAGTAGTCAAATACACTAAAACATATTGTAGGTCAGCAAATGTACTAATAAATAAATGCGGTTATTCGAAAATATCGTCTGAAATAGGAAAGTGAAAACCATCAAAAATATATTGTTATTCTGTATCAAGTTATTCTTACTAGATCCAAATAAGCAAATGCCTTATCTAATTTTGAAATAATAAAAACGAAAATTAAAACTATGATATATTCATTCTTTTAACAATTATGGTTTGGGCATAAATTTAAGTGGAATCTAATATCGCTTTCCAAAAAAAAACAATGGCTCCTACACTATTCGACCAAATTCTGACAATTTTTGCATGTGGCTTCCCCGACCTCCATTTTCTACCAGAGTATGCAGATATATATCTATCTGAACACAACGACATATACAAATTCATTCTCCCTCTCCCTTTAAGCATGAATCAAAAAATACTAATTTCCTCACCAAGCCTTAACTGGAGTGAAATCCAGCCTGAACTTGTATTTTATGGAAACTGTGAAATTTTTAATTTGTTATCATAGTAGTAACAGCATTTAAAATCAAATTTACTACACTAATGGCCACCCATATTCTCTTACTCTCTTTATATTTATTTATTTTTATCTGTCTTTATATTTTAGCACTGAACGAGACTCCAGATGAGTTGATACTGTATTTTTAATTTAAATAGAGCGATAGCTGTGGTGTAGTATCTCACATGTAAAGACTGTCTAAAATAAAATAATACTATTTATCTGATGCCTTGGTCAGAGCCAAAATCGTGAAAGGTTGAAAAGTTTGCTCCTAGTATAGAAAATATGTTTTCAAATCTTTTAACTCTTGTGATAACAAATGTACTTTATGACATCAACACGGAGTATCTCAAGCAGAGGGGGGGAGATCGGGGGGCAACAATTTTGCCCTTCCAGGCTGTCGAGCCATGTAAGCCTGACGTAAAAGTTACATTTTATGTGAACAATATGTATACAAGGTTACAAAAGCAACACAGAAAATAATAAGCCTCATGTCAAAACTACATTTAATCACAATCTTGACAAATTCCCTGATCCCAAAACATCACAATTTGTTTTTAGTTTGGTTGTGGCAGCATCAGACGGGCCGAATTTGACCCGCGAGCCGTAGTTTGTTCTTCATTGGTCTAGACCAGTGGTTTCTCAAACTTTTTGAAAATTTTTGCCTAACGACCCCTTGCAATTTTTCTGGTGACTCGCGGTCCACTAAAAAAAATGAAAGCAAATAGCAGCGCGCTATATTAAGCATTCATCTATTGAATGACATTAAAATAGTTTTATGAGATGGGTGGTCCTCATTGGCTTTCACTAGTTATTCTACCTTGGGTTCTGTTTTGGATAATGCAACTCTCATATCGTGTCTCACATCCATTCCGTTTCAACTTTTTGTTATAATAGCGAGTAACAAAGGAAAAGCTACTGCACATTCATAAGTTGTTGCAAATGGTATGAGCATGTTTAGTGCCATCTTAGCGACATCATGATAGGACGGTGCCACTGTGGTTTTTCATTTCCTCCAGAACTCATCACAGCAAAACCGAGTTTCACACACGAATTGCTATATCTAAATTTATTTTTTATGGCTTGCATTTTTAAATTACCCCGAGAAAGTTTAAAATCAGGTGCACACGCCTACCATAAACAATACACAAGTACGCTGATATACGGTACTCGCCACTTTCAAGAATGTTGATTACGTAATAATGCCTTCTCTAGAGCGTGTCGTGCTTTGGATAAGCACTGTAAAAGCATGGCATAAAAATTTTATTTCAAATCAAAGGGCGAGGTTAAAGTTGTCTCTCAGTCCCCTTAAAATTGCTTCGCGGACCCCTGAGCGACCGCGGACCCCAGTTTGAGAACTAATGTTCTAAACCAGGGTGGCAACCTTTTTAGGCTCGCGTGCCAAAATCGGTAAATCTAACAATAAAATTCTTCTGCGTGCCGACCAAAATTAATAACAATGCTTTGCTACTTTCAAAGCAAAAATACACAATAATAGACCTTCCAAACATGTACAGACAGATTCACTATTCAGGAAAATATCGGTCCGACAAAGGTTACATTCTTATTCTATATCAGTGAGACTTCTGCTGCAGCATTACCGCTGATAGAGGTTTTACATTTGGTTTATATTTTTTAACTTTTACCGAAATATCGAACTACTGGTTTCATCGTTCATGCTCCTCCTGTTAAGAGACTTGATAAAGTTCATAACTGAGAAAAGAGATTCACAAACATATGTAGATGAAAACAGGGAGAGTTTTTAAGCCACGAAAAAATACGGGGACTGTAATAAAACACTACAGCATGACGAAACCAAACATCATAGTACTCGTTCCTAGTCATAAAAATGGACCAATGCCTCCTCCCTCTCTCTTGGTAGGCTAGTGTCTCATTCATCTCCAAGAATTCATCTCCAAGAAACTTAATATGTCACAGCAATGCATTGCCCAACACAGTTGACCGAACAAAGCCAAGTTGAAAAACCTTTGCACACCAAAGTGTGTGTGTGACACCTCAACAAACCAAAATTGTACTTTGTGTGTCAAGATTGCTTACCTCATTCATGTTAAAGCTGTTAGAACTTGGGAGGATAAAAATGAAAACTACAACATTAATACTCAAATACACTAAACATATTTTATGTCAGCAATAAACGATTGAAATCTGAAAGTGAAAACTTACAAAAAGAAACCGCTTTGTGATATAAAATTATTCTTACTAGGGTCAACGGAAATGCCTCATCTAATAATAAAATAATATAAAAGAAAATTAAAACTATGACATAAGCATTCCTCTAAAAACTATGGTTTGGGCATAAATTCTAGTGGAATCTGATATCGCTTCCCAAAAAAAAAACAATGGCTCCTGCACTATTTGGCCAAATTCTGACCAAATCAGGGTTGGCATCCCTGACCTACCTGTTTCTACCAGTGTATGCACATATATATCTATCCAAACACATCGACATATACAAATTCATTCTCCCTCTCCCTTTGAGCATGAATCAAAAAATACTAATTTCCTCACCAAGCCTTAACTGGAGTGAAATCCAGCCTGAACTTGTATTTTATGGAAACTGTGAAATTTTTAATTTGTTATCATAGTAGTAACAGCATTTAAAATCAAATTTACTACACTAATGGCCACCCATATTCTCTTACTCTCTTTATATTTATTTTTTTTATCTGTCTTTATATTTTAGCACTGAACGAGACTCCAGATGAGTTGGTACTGTATTTTTAATTTAAATAAAGCGATAGCTGTGGTGTAGTATCTCACATGTGAAGACTGTCTAAAATAAAATAATACTATTTATCTGATGCCTTGGTCAGAGCCAAAATCGTGAAAGGTTGAAAAGTTTGCTCCTAGTATAGAAAATATGTTTTCAAATCTTTTAACTCTTGTGATAACAAATGTACTTCATGACATCAACACGGAGTATCTCGAGCAGAGGGGGGGGGGAGATCGGGGGGCAAGGTTTTTAGACCGGGGGCCAACAATTTTGCCCATCCAGGCTGTCGAGCCATGTAAGCGTGACGTAAAAGTTACATTTTATGTGAACAATATGTATACAAGGTTACAAAAGCAACATGGAAAACAATAAGCCTTGTGCCAAAACTAAATTTAATCACAATCTTGACAAATTCCCTGATCCCAAAACATCACAATTTGGTTTTAGTTTGGTTGTGGCAGCATCAGACGGTGCGGATTGAATTACCCAACGGGCCGGATTTGACCCGCTAGCCGTAGTTTGTTCTTTATTGGTCTAGACCAGTGCTCTTCAACCCTTGGGGTTCCGCAATACATGCAGTGGGGTTCCGTGAGTTTATTGGGTTCCTGAGGGGTTCCGCGTTTTTTTTTTTCAGGGGAAATTAATTCTTGCTTCAGCATGTTGATGCGTCGTTGCAAAGTTGTTTAAAGAGTGTTGTAGACATAAGTATGAAAATTGCATTGAGCGCCGTGGAGCCACGATTCAAGAAGATTGCAAAGAAAATGCAAGAACAACCTAGTAATTGAATTTCGCGCTCATTACCGTCTTTCTGTTTCTTTGTTGAAGTAGATATATTTGAATTACAAATATTTCGTGTTACGGGTATTTCGTGTTATTTTTTTAAAATTTGTTAATTGGGGTTCCATGAAAAACGAAAAATTATCTCAGAGGGTTCTACAATAACAAAAAGATTGAAGAGCACTGGTCTAGACCCTACAGCAGGGGTGTGCAACTGGCGGCCCGCGGGCCACAACCCGGCCCACCAAGCAATTTAGTGTGGACCTAAGAAACACTCAGATTTTTCCACATCAAGCCCAAAATCTTAATCCGACAGTCAATGTTTAGAAAGGCTATCATATGGATAAAAATACACAATGTTTTTTGCTGTTGTCACTGTATTAAACCTTTTGCCGTTTTATCAAGTGCATTTATTTCTGTAAGGGTAAGCGATAGCCGCATTCTTTTCAGTTGGCTTTTCAGCTAAATTTTTTGTGTGGCCCGGCTAGATGTCTGAAGTTGGTTGTATGGCCCGCTGATAAAAAATGTTGCACATCCCTGTTCTAGAGGGAGGGCCATAGGAGCAACCGTCTCGGGGTGAGTTTGTTGCTTAGTATGATAATTTGAATCATTTCAATACAAACATTTCACCCTACTTCATCTTTAAAATATTTATTCATGTGTATAACAACAAATATATTTTGTCAATTCCCAAAATTATTTTAAAGAATAGGGGCATCATTATCAGAAACTCACCCTGGGCAGCAGTTTGACACACCCCTATTCTCGAGTTATTGATGCAACAAGCAATTAAATAAATTTACCATTTTTCAATACAACGTCAATCAACAGGGATAATAATATTTGATCAATTCTTTTATATCTTAAAGACTAGCTCAAAAATCTCAAGTCAAATCTCTTTAGTGGTAACTTGAGTCAAGATATTTTGATTGTGCGAGTCGAGTTCCTTCAACTCTTTTAAAGGGGATTTGAGTAAATAAATGATTACCTAAATTCTCTCAAATGCTTATTTTGACTCCTACAATATACAGGGTGTCTCAAAAGTAAGTACCGGTATACACTTTTAATTTTAATTTGCTTTTTGGGTACTTATCATAGAGCGTTAATATCTTCAGAAAACATAATATGGATAAGTAGTAAAATTTAGTTATTGTTTGCATTTTTCATCAACCCACAGAATGACAAGGAGATTAACCCAAGAAAAGAGGTGCAAATTGCTGTTGGGCAATAAGCATATATAATCAGTAAGACAAGCCAGTGAGACACTCTGTATATAGTCACCGACTGTGTAGAGCCTTGTTCTGAGCAAAAATTAGATAATTTTTTTTAATTATAAGTGGCATGCGTTAGAGATAGGGATTGATATTTTTGGTGCATATTCCCTTTAATACATGCACCAACCACCAATCCTCTAATAAACTACCGGTAATTATCAGTCCAAATTTATGCTGTTTAGTCATTCATGCTCATCACATGAAGTCTCCTCTTACCTTTACATTGCCAGTGTTTTCTTTAAAAGCTTTTATTCCTTCTGCTGTCAGATTGCAATTCCCAGCATCAAATGTCTTTACCTGGCATTGTGTAACAACTAATCCAAGCTCACCAAAACCATCGGTTCCAAGGTTCTTGTTATACCTGACATCTAGTTTATTCAGCTGAAATAAATGAGAACAGTGGAATTATTGAACATGATAGAAATACAAACGAAACTAGAGCTGCGTGCAGCTTTAACAGGCTTCCCGCGTAAAAAAAACTGAAGACGCGTTTTGCTCACTGGAGCATGAAAGCGTGGTCAGTCATGCATAAAATTTGCAATTTATGATGGGGGACTTATTATCTGCATGTGATGTAAATTTCAAGTCTTTAAGTTGTGTCGTTCTCGAGAAGAAGATGAAAATGTAAAATCCTATATTGCTCACTGGAGCGTATCGCCGAGGTCACTCATGCGTATCCTTGACATATTGTATCTGGAACATGTCCATTAATCATTGTTATGAATTTCAACCCAATACCATGTATCAATTTTGAGAAATCGCAAAAAAACTGAAGACGCGTTTTGCTCACTGGAGCGTGAAAGCGTGGTCAGTCATGCATAAAATTTGCATTTTATTGCTAGCTGAGAACTTCTGCACATTTGAGGTGAATTTCAAGTTTGTAGGACCAATTTGAAAAAAAAAATAATAACTAGAGCTGCATGCAGCTTTAACAGGCTTCCCGCGAAAAAAAAACTGAAGACGCGTTTTGCTCACTGGAGCGTGAAAGCGTGGTCAGTCATGCATAAAATTTGCAATTTATGATGGGGGACTTATTATCTGCATGTGATGTAAATGTGAATTTCAAGTTTGTAGGACCAATTCGAAAAAAAAAATAATAAAAATAAATAATAATAATAAATAAATAATAATAATAATAAATAAATAATAATAATAATAAATAAATAATAATAATAATAAAACGTAGGAATACAATAGGTTCCCGGCTGACAAGCAGCGGGAAGCCTAACTATAGAATTCACTGCACTGAGGGTTCACATTGCAACAGAATGAAATGAATTACAGCTGTGATATGGCAGGCTATTGAACCACCTAATCTAGTTTGCTATAGAACAAGGATGTGTAACATTTTTTGTCGGTGGGTCGTATAACAAACTGCATACATTTAATTGGACCCCCTTGAGAGATTATTACATCACAATATGTTGCAACAAGCCTGCAGCAACAAAATACATTAGTGACTAGCAGAGTGCCATGCGGAGGGTAAAAAAGGAGAATCAAGTTATCGCTTAGCCTTACACTAATGAATGCACAGGGAAAGATTTAACACAGCGACAAGACCAAAAAGCATTTTGTATTTTGCCCCAGAAAATTAATTAATTCAGTTATTACTTATAGATGAAAAGTTAATTTTTACTATACAATCAAAAGTTCTAAATCAAGGATGGCGAACCTTTATACTTATTGGAGAACATTTTCTTTTCGACATTTGAATAATTCAATGGTATTGCAGCTAATGCTTGCTGCAGAATTTACATATTACACATAAAACAGTTATGACATAACAATAGAGTATACCGGTATGTCACTCTCTTTCACTGAACTAATATGGTACGGTAAGCTAACTCACAAAGCCTAATGTACACTTTGTGATCCACAAGTCAGTGGTTCACCATCCTTGTTCTAAATCAACATGTTGGACCACAATCAATGTTCGGAGAGGGCAGTCGATAAACTTATGACTGTGTTTCCAGAGTTTATATCATTAAAATTAAAGAAAATACACAAGCAAATGGATGTCAGTTTCCAAGTTCAAAGGTATTGGTATTCAAATATTCCCTATAGATAAAAATGCACGTATTTTCTAACTTTTGAAAATGGTTGGGTCCATTGCACTGCCATGATACTGCATTTGGGGTTGCGGTGAAGTTAAAACAATGCACCAAAACTGCAATTCACGACGACGTAATGCGTTCGTTTACAGCAAAATTCCGCAGTTATGTGTAGCCCGCCTGACGTCTTTGCCTGACGGTGTTTGGTGAATATTTTGCAAGTCCTATTTTAAACATCGACCCTTAATCCGTAGTCAGCCGGCATCCGCATTTTAGAAATGAAACATCAAAAATTGCGAAAATTAAATTTGGAGAGAACTATAACTCGCAGATGTCAGTAGCGTCATAATGGTTTATATGTACAAAAACACACTCGCATGTAGCGCCAATCAACTTCATGAAATGTGGAACTACTGCTTGAAATTATTGTTAATAATGAAGTTGCTTTTTTATTGCAATTCAATGATTATTCACATGCGCCGTGATTAGTGGAAGGCAAAATTGTATTTTTTGATATTCGAATATTTTTAACGTACACCGTATATTGAGTATTGTCATTTTGAACAACATTATTTGGAATGTCGGCGCCGAAACGATCACCGTGACATTAAATATTTTTTTCTGGAATTTACAAGAAGACTGAAAACTTCGTAACAATGCGGCGTTTTTTATTTCATAATTTTGTCATAATCGAAGGCTGCCGTAAATTTTTGTCACCGCAATCGTTTCGGCGGCCCACATTCCAATTAATGTTGTTAAACTATATTAAAGCACTCTTTTTATTCGCAGAAAATATTAATTCTCACGTAACGACGGATATCGTAGTTTGGTTTTTATATTTCGGACAGAAGTGTGAATTCATATCGGCGAAGATTTTAAAGACAACCATTAAGGAGTGCATTCATAACAAAAATTAATTTTGTTCTGATTTTTAACTTCTGTGTAGGATTTGTATCACAGTTTGTAAATTACGGTCCCAATTTTAAGCGAACGATATTATTATTACTGACCCCGGGATGCGATATTTGTGAAGCGGATAGTTGAAATTTCTTTGATTTAAATTTTAGATCGTGTTCATGTTACTTTTGTATTAAATAATAATTGAAAAAATACGCAAATTGGTAATCCATTGAATACTCAGTGTTGAGTATTTACGTAACTCAGCTTTGGGTTAGAACACTGATAGTAACTAAACACGCAAAAGAAATCGGCAATAATGGCATTTCTACGTGGTCAAAATAATATTTCTCCCCAATATCTCATGAAACTTCCATAAAATACATTATTTACTTGTCTTACTTATCTGTTTCGACGTTTCAATATTACAAAAACGGTGTTGATACGCTTTATGCAAAATCTTTTCAAGTTTATCGTTTCTACTTGTTAGCGATAGCCGTCGGTTTAATTCTTACCCGTAACTCGTTGTAAATTAATGTTAATAAATTCTGTTTTGCTTTCCAATGCGCTGGTATTTGTATTGATAAAAATGATCGGAGAAAGAAAGTCCCTTAATTAGCTTATAATCCTTCTCTCCTTTTGAGCGCCCATAACGGCGGTTAAATTCGTTTCATGGAGAGAAAGGAAAATAGGCTTTCCGGAATTGCAATCAACAATTACACATTCCTATTCATCATTATCAGCGCCGAAGACTAAGGTACCATATCGTGAAGAAGAAAAAAGTGTGGCGGTGTTAATTGCGTACAGGGTGTACGCACACAATAATATCGCTTTGACCCCGAAACAACGCTGTTGCTTTTTTGTAGAAGAAATTTCACATCAAAACTTTTTTCTCCAAAAGGGGGAGGGGGGGAGGTACCCATGTACCCCCCCCCATCCCTTCCTGCTGGCTGCGCCCCTGGGCATATTCTAAAATGCTCATGGGCATATGCTCATCTGCATGCGCCACACCGCCGAGCCATAAGTGGGCCTCCAATAAATCTCTATTAAGGCAGTGATACACAAAAAAGTCCTATTTATCCAACATTACATATAAATATTTTGCTAAATTATTTTGTTCACAGTTATACATACATGTATGTGTATTACAACGAAACAAATTGCTTCATTATGATAATATTATTGAAGCTTAATTGCTATGTCCTCGAATTTAAAAAAAGGTAAGGTAATGAATTTTATGCATTGTGGGTTTTTAATATGTATTTGAAAGTCTAGATTCGAAAATATTTTTTAGAAGGAATTCGTATTGAGTTATGGCCATCCCTACTAATAGCCTAAATATGTTCAATAATGAGTTGTATTTAAAAATTATTCGAAAATCTTTAGGCTGTAATAAAACACTACAGCATGACGAAACCAGACATCATAGAACTCGTTCCTAGTCATGAAAATGGACCAATGTCTCCTCCCTCTCTCATGGTCGACTAGTGCCTCCCTATTCCCGAACTAAGAATTCATCTCTAGGAAACTTGATACGTCACAGCATTACATTTCCGAACACAGTTGACCGAACAAAACCAAGTTGAAAAACCTTTGCACACCAAAGTGTGTGTGGCACCTCAACAAACCAAAATTGTACTTTGTGTGTCAAGATTGCTTACCTCATTCATGGTAAAGCTGTTAGGACTTGGTAGGATAAAAATGAAAACTACAACATTCGTACTCAAAGACACTAAACATATTTTATGTCAGCAATAAACAAATATATTGTTTGAAATCTGAAAGTGAAAGCCAGGGTTGTCCAAAACGAATCGAATATTCGAATGTATTCGAATATCAGCGTATTCGAATATCTTTTTGGCTGATTTTCGAATAATTCCGAATAGTAGCCACTTTTCGCCGTAAACGTGGTGTTTCGTGGGTGGACATTGCCGAAATTTGTCTACAGGCTTCTAATTTACAAATTCATTTCCATTACAAATTACCGTATTTCCCCGGCTAATAAGTCGCTTTTCTAGGCCACCGAGATAAAGCCATTTGTGACCCTTTCGTTTTGCCGATTCAGCAGAACACGACAGGAAAACACAGCTGTGAAATAACCTGTGGACGTACAGTGTATTACTTATCAAATTCCAAAATTATTTCAACATTCGGGTTAATAGGTTGTTCAAAATGATTGTCGCTTTACAACTTAAATTTACCGCTCAATTGTTAAAAATAGTTAATTCTGTGAGTATGATTCTACCAAACTAACATGATCTGGTTCTAAACATTTAAAATTATTAGCGCATATCAGCATAACTGAACAACAGGCACACAATTTTTCTACCCGTCTTATTGGAGGTCTATATGGAAAAAAAACTTTTTGGAGTACTAAATATAGACATCGTTCTATTTTCCATGTGGATTTATTAGCCGGGGAAATACGGTATT